TAAGATTGTTTTCTGCTTCAGTTGCTTGCAGCCAAGATCCCTGACCAATCCTTCCTTCCTTCCTTCCTTCCTTCCTTCCTTCCTTCCTTCCTTCCTTCTTTCTCCCTTCCTTTCTTCCTTTCTCCCTTCTTCTCCTTCCTCCCTCCCTCCCTCCCACCCTCCCTCCCTCCCTCCCTTCCTCCTTCCCTCTTTTCTTCCTTCCTTTCTTCCTTTCCTTCCTTTCTGTCTCCCTTCTTCTCCTTCCTTCCTTCTTTCCTTCCTTCTTCTCCTTCCTTCCTTCCTTCCTTCCTTCCTTCCTTCCTTCTTCTCCTTCCTTCCTTCCTTCCCTTCCTTTCTGTCTCCCTTCTTCTCCTTCCTTCCTTTCTTCTTTCCCTTTCTTCCTCCCTCCCTCCTTCCCTCTCTCCCTCCCTCCTTTCTTCCCTTGCTTTCTGTCTACCTTCTCCTTCCTTTCTTTTTTCCCTCCCTTCCTTCCTTCCTTCCTTCCTTCCTTCCTTCCTTCCTGCCTGCCTTCCTTCCTTTCTTTCTTCATTTTCCATTCCTTCTCTCTGGAAAATGCATTCATTTGGTGATCATTTAATTTTAAAGAGACACTCACATACATATCCATTGATCTATGGTATATATTTGCCAGTGTGTGCATAGACCCACGTACACCAACGTGAAAGTAAATACAGTGACATTACATTATAAGCTCACAATGCAGAGTATGAGTGCTTTTATAATTTTTTGTGTCTCATATTTTAATTGTTCTTAAAATATTAGCAATCATAACCACAAGTGTAACCATAAACACGATCACAATCAATACATTTATTAAATGCGTAGCATATATCTGTGTACGTATGTGGAAGCGTGTCACCCGGTCTGCTCTTCTAACTCATTATTTATTCCAACCCATTTACTCCTGGGAGCAAGCCCGTGCAGCAGGAGTTAATACCTTCAGCTCGCTTTGAACAGCGGTGCAAGGGACGCTCGGGGGACTGGGTCCAGGCACTGGGGAGGGGCTCCAGCACACAGCCCTGAGTTCAATTCTCAGCAACACAAGTCCCCAAGGCTCTGCCAGGCATGGCTCTGGGGCTCTGAGCACTACTGGGAGTGACCTGTATAAAATGGGATGGGGAGAGAGAGAGAGAGAGAGAGAGAGAGAGAGAGAGAGAGAGAGAGAGAGAGAGAAGGAGGGGAGAGAGAGGGAGAGACAGAGAGAGGGAGAGAGGGAGAGACGGAGAAAGGGAGAGAGGGAGAGAGAGAGGGAGAGAGGAGAGAGCATGTTTGCGAAAGAGGCAGAGAACGAGAGAAAGGCAGAGAGGGAGAGAGGAAGAGAGAGGCAGAGAGAGGAGGGAGAGAGGGAGAAAGAGAGTGGGAGAGAGAGAGAAAGAGAGAGAGAGAGAGGTACAAACTCAGCAGTCTTCTCAGGACAGAGCTGGGGTCCCACCTGGCAGTCTTGTCTAGGCCCTTAGCTTTGAATAACCTCAGTGAGGATCTCTCCTTAAGCGGGGCAGCCCCAAGAGTATTCCAGATGAGGCCCCGAGGGAGGACTGCTGAGGACCAGCTCATGGAGGGGAGGGGGCACAGTCCAAGTCCAGGCTCCAGGCTGCAATGACAGTGCAGCGGGCAGGGCGCTTGCCGCTAACCTGGGTTCGATCCCTGGCACCACATGTGATCCTTAAGTGCAGAGCCAGGAGTCAGCCCTGAGCAAGGTGTGGCCTAAAAACCTAAATAAATTCAAATAAAAACAGTCCAGGACCAAGGCTCTCTAGGAGGAAGGGCAGGATCTGGTCTGACCAGGAGAGGGGCCTGTGGTCAAGAGGTGAGGACAGGAGATCAGTGGATCAGGTGGATCCCGGAGGATCCCTTGGGATAAGGCATATGCTTAGGAGGTGAGGGCTATGACCTCAGCGACCTCACTTCTCCGGGAAATGAAGCAAGGTCCCTGCTGGGGTCGGGGGGTGGGGAGGTGTCAGGCAAGTTGTCACTTAAATGAGGTACAGAACTAGACCCCTATCCCCTGCCCTGCCACTCCCAGGGTCCTGCGGAAGCTGCTGGGGAGGGAGGGGTTCCCGGGAAGCCAAGGATGGAGCAGCTGATTGATCGGGGGTCTCTGCCCTCTGCCCGTGTTGCTGACAACTGGACAGATTTGGGACTCAGGAAGCTCCTTACCTGTGCGTGGGTGAATGTGGAGGGTCCCCAAAAATCTCCCCACGGCAGAGCGGAGCATCCTAATATGTGGGGAGCAGATGGTCTGACAGAGCCCACTGGACAGAGACCGAGAAGGCACGCATGGGCTCCTCCTCCAGAGAGAGAGAGAGAGGGAAGGAGAGGGAGGGAGAGGGAGGGAGAAGGAGGGAGAGGGAGGTAGGGAGGAAGAGGAACAGAGCCCTGCACGCTGGCTGAGCCAGCACCAGAGTGCGGGTCAGTGCGGGTCCCAGGGTCCCTGGGCTGTGTGGCCTGCCCATGAATATCCTTCTGCAGAACTTCCCGGCCCCAGCTCTCCTCACCCTCCGAGCTGTCCTGCCCCAGCCGCTGTTGTGACCAGACTCCAAGCCAGGCCCTGCACCCCTGCCTCATAGGGGGGTCCTCAGCCACCTACCAGCCCTGGCTAGGCTGTCCCTCTGAAGCCTTCGCAGGAACCGTCTTTCTGTGACACCCGGTAAGGCAGCAGCCCAGGTGGTGGAGGGTGGAGGGGGCGCTGCTGGTGGGGGACCCCAGGGGATCCAGGCAAAGGGGTGGCTCAAGTCCTCAGGATGGGAGTGTCAGACCTGGAGGCTTCCAGGGAAAACGCCCCCTGGCCAGGACAGTCTGCTGCTCCTCCTTGGAGGATTCTGGTCCCCAAAGCTGGCAGCTGTCCTAATCGCGTGTTTCTCCCGTGAGGAATTTGTGTGGCGAACTCACTTTGTTCAGACCCACTTTGTTGGTGTCCAGTTGCTCGAAGAGAAGCGAGCTTCCCCTGGCAGCAGGGGCTCTGGGCTGGGTCTGCGAGAGCGTCTTTCTGCTGTGGCAAGCGCCTCGTTCTAGCATGGCAAGTGCCTCTGCCATTGATCTGTGTCCGCGGAGGAGAGAGCAAGGGAGAAACCTCTGTCCCTCCGCATCGCTAATGGAAAGATCTGAGAGGGGGAAAGAGTCTCATTTCCTCTCGTAACAGGAGATAATTCACTGGGGGGCTATTGACAGTTGCAGAAAGGCTGGGGTCCACCACACTGGCTGGGGGGATGATGCTGGGCAGCGGAGAGAGAGAAGTGGGGGGGATACGGGGGGGCATTTAAGGAGGCTGACTGTAGAAGGTGGGTCTTGCAAAAATAAAATAGGAGGTGACCTAGCGGGCGAGAAATGAGAAAAGTAGCTGCAGGAAAGAGGTGGGTCAGGAGGTGAACGCAGGTTACGTTGGTTTCAGGGGGTAGAGAGGTGGGGTGTGGGGGAGCGCCTGGAAGCTGAGCTCCCTGGTGCGTTCAATAGTGACCACACATGATGTCGCCCCGAGGACCCACACGGGCAGTGCTTATTGTGCCTCCCACTCACTCAAACCCACGGGAACATGGGGGCATCTCCTGCAGGCACCGGGCACCAGGGTCCTTCCCTTGTCAGAGCATTTTAATGAAAAGTGGAAGGTTACGCTCATTACCGTCAATGACCTGGAATGATTCATCTTTGGTTTCCAGTTACACGTGAATGAAATTATCACAGGGGGCTAATTGCAAGGAATGCCAATTTAAGGCACCCAGGGGAGCAGGGCCCTTCAGAATCGGCTGCACCTCACGGGCACGGTCAATGACGGGGTGGCAGATGTGTGTGTGGGGACATATCTCATTGCGTCCTTGCATGCCACAATTATGTAAAAATACTTGACTGGATTTCTACTTCTATCTCCCCACGTCTCACTGAAAGGCAAAACACTTCCTTTTTTTTTCAGTGTGGTGGTGGTGGTGGTGGGGGGGGCTTACACCTGGTGATGCTCAAGGGTTACTCCTGGCTCTGCACTCAGGAATTGCTCCTGGCAGTGCTCAGGGGGACCCTATGGGATGCCGGGGATCAAACCCGGGTCAGCCATGTGCAAGGCCAGTGCCCTCCCCGCTGGACTATGGCCCCAGCCCCTGGGAAATACTTCCTTTGATTTAATACAGAGGGTTGGAAAATGCCAAAGGTCTCAGCCTACCGCAGACACGACACTGGCTGGGAGGAGAAGTGAGAAGGTCTGTACACAGGAACCCAGGCCTCCTGGAACCCTGGGTCTAGGAAAGTCTGGCTTTGGGCGGGGACCCTCTCCCTCCTCTCCCTCCTCCCTTCCCCCCCAACCTAGATTGACTCTACCCACTGCACCTCCACGTCCTGCGGGGGCTCTGAACACAGACTGCCCTTGGGTGAGTCACACACACACACAAAATTTCCCTTTCCTCGGTGCCCCTGGCTCTCATGCCACCGCATCCCAGTTTGGAAGCCGAAGACCCAAGCGTGAATCCAACGCATTCCTTTTAGCTCCATGCCAAACTCTCTGAGCCTCTCTCTGAGCAGTCACCTCCCCGCCCCCTGCCCCCCTGGAGCTCCGCAGCCCCTGTAGGGGCGATGAGAAGTCCAAACGAGGTCAGCAGTGCAACGGCACCTTATAAATCTCCAACCGCACTGACACAAATGACTCTCCATGGACGGAAAGCCCCCGCGAGCAGGTCTGCTGGGTCTCAGCTCGGCTGCTGTAGTTGTTCGCGTACACACAGGAGACCATCCGCCACATCTCCTCAGCTGATTGATTCTTTGAGAACCATCGCCCAGAACCGTCAGGGTCCTCTCTCACTGCTAAGGCCCCAACCGGGATGCCCATTGGCTCCTCCTGGCCCCCAGGCCAGGCTCATTTCAGGGTGGAGAAGCTAGTGGGGTGCAGAAAGAGGAAGCCAGGGAGAACCCAGAGGACCCCTCTGGCCTGTGCCCTCCCCAGTGCAGACAGTGCCAGTGCAGACAGCTCCTCGCACAATACAGGGTGCTGAGAATTCTCTCCCGGCCTGCCCATTGGACTGGACCCCTCCTCTGAGCCATGGACCCCGGCTGCCCTGCACCCCCGTGGCTGTGGTGGCTCCTTCTGGTCCCCGTAGGTAAGTGGGTGCGGTGGAGGGAGCTCCTGTGTATGAGGGTGGGGTGTCTCTGCAAGGTGGGTGCTGATGTGGTCCCTGGGGTAGTCTCTCCAGAACCTTCTGGAAGGTTTCCCAGTCCCATTCTGCAGCGGGGAGGCTGACACTGCCCTGAGTGAGTCCACCAGACTCTCTGGAGCGCTCTGCCTTCCGCTGAGGAACCCCCAGCAGTGACCCGCAGGGACAGAGCTGCTCACTGGGGTTCCACCCATCCATCCCAGATGCTGCTCCCGTATCTCTCCCTGCAGCGCCCCCTGCCGCCTTGGCGGGCCAGGCCTCCCCTGGCCCCCAGGTCCTTGCTCACCCCCGGCTCCAAGGCAAGGCGGACTCTAGTGTCCCGTCCGTCTGTCTATCTGTCTGTCTGTTCCCGCCCCCTCCCCAGGAGGATACAGGCTCAGGGCAATTGCTGGGGGGCCCGGTGTTGGGACCCCACTCTCGCTTCTATCCACAGCGCCTGCGCAGCGGGTCCCCCTCCCTCAGGCGGAGGACCGCCTCTTTAAACACCTCTTCAGTGGCTACAACCGCTGGGCACGGCCGGTGCCCAACACCTCGGACGTGGTGATCGTGCGCTTCGGCTTGTCCATAGCCCAGCTCATTGACGTGGTGAGCCGGCCTGTCCCCACCTCGGGGTCAGCACCAGCCCCGCTCCCCCCTGCCTGATCCTCCTCCACCTCCAGGCCCTGGAGCCCTTGGCGGGTGGACTCCAATGGGCAGTGCTGAGGGTGTCCGGGTTTGGCAGTGCAGTCCTGGAGCATCTCAGCAGAGGGAGAGTGGGCTGGGCTGGGCGGCCCTAAGGAGACTCTGTGGAGCCGGGTGCGGTCAGTCTGTCCCACCCTTGGCCGCAGGGGGCGGGGCGGGGGGGGGTCTCGGGCTGGTTTCTGCTCCCTCCCTCGGGGGTCTCACGCCCTCTCCCTACCGGTCAGGATGAGAAGAACCAAATGATGACCACCAACGTCTGGCTAAAGCAGGTGAGGGCCTCCTCTTGCACCCCAGATGGGACAAGCCCCGGAGCACCCCTACCTCCTGCTGGGATCTCCTGGGTGTGCTTCTAGCAAGATCGTTGACCCCTTTTCTCTGAGTTCTAACGGGGCGGGACTCAGATTGCCTCTGTGTTAAATGGGAATGCATGTGCCCACTCAGCATCCCTGCCTCACAGAGGGTGTTGAACGCAGGATGATTCTGCGCTGGGGGTCTGGGAGGTGGTGGGAAACTTCGGGGTCCCCGTCGGGAACCTTGGGGTCCCTGGCCTCGTGGCGCTTCCTGGTGGGTGCGGCTGGAGGAGGAGCTGGGGACGGGGCTGAGTCTCTCAGCTGCTGCTGGGGTGTCCTGAGTCCTCCTCCAGACAGCCCTGTGACCGCCTCCCCTGGCCAGGAGTGGAACGACTACAAGTTGCGCTGGAACCCTGCCGACTTCGGCAACATCACCTCCCTCCGCGTCCCCTCCGACATGATCTGGATCCCGGACATCGTCCTCTACAACAAGTAGGAAGCTGGGTGGGGCTTCTGGGACCCCCACAGGGGAGGGGCGCCCCCTTCCTTCTGAGCTTCCTGCCATCCCTCTCACTCCACAGGCGAGGATTAATCCCCTAGATTCCTTCAACTGCTCTGTGCCCGGCACAGGGTCCAGGGCTGGGCGCTGTCTGGGTTTGGGGACCTGGCGCTGAGCCCTCCTGACACAGCTTTGTTACTTTATTAAGACGGAGGGCAGCGCTGGTAGTGCTTGAAGCTTACTCCTGGCTCTGTGCTCAGGGATCTTTCCTGGTGATGCTCAGGGGACCTTAAGGGATGCCGGGGATCTAGCCTGGGACAGCCCATGTCAGGCAAGCACCTTACTTGCTTATTATCTTTACGGCCCATCCTGATCATTACTGAAAGATTGTGTTTGGACCAGATTCTGAAATAGCCCAGAGTTTAGAGTTTCATGGGGCAGCAGTATTGTAGGAACTGGTGTGGGGGGAGGGGGGGGGCAGCATCCCAGCTCCCTTCTATGGGGGAAGCAAACGCACTTGAGGAGTGGGTTAGAAACTGTTCAACGCTAAGGGACACTGGTCCTTCCTTCCTTCCTTCCTTCCTCCCTCCCTCCCTCCCTTCCTCCCTTCTTCCCTTCCTTCCTTCCTTCCTCCCGTCCCCCTCCTTCCCTCCCTCCTTTCTTCCTTTCCTCCATCACATAGAAAAAAGAGAAATCTCTCATTTCACTGATGTTTGGTGTGAGGTCTTCAGAAGGCAAGAGTTTAACACCATAAGTTACCTGGCATTGCTCTGTTAGTTTTGCAGCAGAGATCCACCGAGGCTGGCATTTTCCAATTCAGTGGGCCAGATTTACAGTTATAATCTTCAATCAGTGAAAAAAAAGGGGGGGTGATGATCCGTGCCTGGCGTTCTGAAGCCTCCAGATGGGCTGGAGGGAGGATGGTTCCTTTCCACCAGCCCAGGTGGACCAACTCCAAAGCCTGCTGACCTAAGTCTCAGGTCCACTTGCATTCAGTATCCCCGAAGGTCTCACAGCCTCAGGCCTCACTGCCTCGCTGCTCAGGCCCCCAATCCTGTACACTTCCAACCTCGTACTCCAATCCTGTACCCCAACCCGGTACCACTCCCCAACCTTCTCATTTCCTCTTCCGGTGGGTGAGCAGGCAGGAGCCAGGACGCACGTCCACGCATCCTATTTGAGCTTAAGCTTCAGGGTGGCCAGCGACGCTCCAGATAGGATTCTGGATAGAACAAAATCCAAACCCAGAGAGTAAAGAAAATTAAAAAATAGATAAAAAAAAAAAAAAACCCACCCGGGTCAGTGTAAGGAAATCACCTCCACCCTGTGTGCGTGTGCCCCCATCTAGCGGTGATGGAGGGCATTGCACTTTAAATTTTAAACTTGGCCTGGACCAGCATAGACCATCTTTCAGAGTCCCTGCCTGCATCTTTGCCCTGGAATCACAGCGTAAAAAAGCCTCTTCCCCTGTGTTTTGCTTTGACGACGAACCTGGAATTGGAGGGGAGCAGGGTTCCCTAGAGACACTGCGCCACCTCTCAAGGGCTCCGGCGCCCAGGAAGTCCCGCCTGACTGGTCCCCACTGCCCCGTCCCTGTTCCTGGAGGAGCGTCGTCCCACTGCTGTCACCATCGCGAGCCCGGGCCCTCACACGGGGGTTCCACGCCCGCCCCACCCTCGACATCTGCCTCCTGAATTCCGACCTACTAGGCCGCAGGCCCATCCACACGGCCCTGCAGCCCCACCCAATCAAACCCCGCCCCCAGCCACGCCCCCACAGAGACCCACCCCTACCTCCCCACTGCATTGCAGTTTGACTTCCAGCCTACAGTGCAACTCTTCCTTCTCTTCGGCTCTGGTTTCTGGGTGAGATGCTGCCACGCTTTTCGTGTTATCTCTCTGCCATCAAAATCCATCAAAAATGGCAACTTTTTTCCCAGCCAGTGGGGAGTTTTGGGGGGGAACATTCACTTCTCAGAGTGCAGTTGCCAAATTGCCTTCGCTGCAGGGGTTGGGGCTCCCTCTGGAGACCCGTGTCCCCTCATCTCCCTCAGTTCCCCCAGGCCCGAGTGGTGAGGCTGCTTTGGAAATGCAGAGACCTGGCAGGAAACTGGAAGGTGTCTGCCTTCCCCATGTCCATGCCAGGCTTCTTGGAAACCAAGAGCTAAAGACCACAGGGGGAAAACCCAGTCCCCAGCCCCCGCCTCCCTTTCAGAATCGCGGAACTCACTGAATTCACACTCATACATAGCCTGCAGGGCTGCAGGGCCTGTTGGGAAGCTTCAGAAACGTTACCACTTGCAGTGCCTGAGAAACTCAAGACAGGTGAGCAGTGCCCGAGACACCAGGGACGCAGATGAGAGGGCTGGAGCACAAGCCTGGATCCGAACCCTGAGCGCCACTCGGTGTGGCCCAAATCCAAACCCAAACCGAGACAACAAACAAGAATACTCACCTCGGATTCACAGCGTGTTTGGTTTTGAATCAATTTTTGGCCGTGGCAAGACAGGAAGCTTTCACAGTTGCCCAATTCCTCACGATGCCTCGTTTCCGCCCCCCTCCCGCCATTTAGCTGTGACTACCTCCTTGTGGGGTCTGACGACCTACAGCTTAAGAAGCTTGACCTGAACGTTAATCATTGACAGGATTCCTGTAGCTGTGAGACCTTCCTGACTAGAGGCTATTTTAAAACACACGTGGTACCTGGGTGGGAGAGATAGTTCAGGGTTTAGGTACTTGCCTTGCTTGTGACAGGGCCAGGATTGATCCCCAGCACCCCCTAGAGTCCCCCAGCACTGCCAGGAGTGATCCTTGAGCACAGAACCAGGAGCATCCCCGAGTGTGGTCCAAAATATATATTTAAAAAATGGGTACCTGGGGCTGGAGCAATAGCACAGCGGGTAGGGCGTTTGCCTTGCACGCGGCCAACCCAGGTTCGATTCCCAGCATCCCATATGGTCCCCTGAGCACCACCAGGGGTAATTCCTGAGTGCAGAGCTAGGAGTAACCCCTGTGCATCGCCAGGTGTACCCAAAAAGCAAAAAAAAAAGGGTACCTTCCCATTTTCTTTCCCAGCCTGCCTTGGTGGTGGGAAATGTGGTATTTGAGACTCAGGCGGCTTCACACCCCTTACTGACAGCTCTGTAGAGGCAGTGGGTCACGTGGCGCCCACCCGCCACCGCCATCCCCCCATCTCTCCCCTCCCCAGTGCAGACGGGGAGTTCGCCGTGACGCACATGACCAAGGCTCACCTCTTCTCCACGGGCACCGTGCACTGGGCACCACCGGCCATCTACAAGAGCTCCTGCAGCATCGACGTCACCTTCTTCCCCTTCGACCAGCAGAACTGCAAGATGAAGTTCGGCTCGTGGACCTACGACAAGGCCAAGATCGACCTGGAGCAGATGGAGCGCACGGTGGACCTGATGGAGTACTGGGAGAGCGGCGAGTGGGCCATCGTCAACGCCACGGGCACCTACAACACCAAGAAGTACGACTGCTGTGCCGAGGTGTACCCCGACGTCACCTACTACTTCGTCATCCGCCGCCTGCCGCTCTTCTACACCATCAACCTCATCCTGCCCTGCCTGCTCATCTCCTGCCTCACCGTGCTGGTCTTCTACCTGCCGTCCGACTGCGGCGAGAAGGTCACGCTCTGCATCTCCGTGCTGCTCTCGCTCACCGTCTTCCTGCTGCTCATCACCGAGATCATCCCGTCCACGTCGCTCGTCATCCCGCTCATCGGCGAGTACCTGCTCTTCACCATGGTCTTCGTCACGCTCTCCATCGTCATCACCGTCTTCGTGCTCAACGTGCACCACCGCTCCCCAGGCACCCACCGGATGCCCCACTGGGTGCAGGGTGTCTTCCTGGGCTGGGTGCCTCGCTGGCTGCTGATGAGCCGGCCCCCTCCCCCGGGGGAGCCTGACCCTAAGCTCAGCTCCTCCTACTGCTGGCTGGAGAGCAACGTGGATGCGGAGGGTAGCGGGGAGGAGGAGGAAGAGGAAGAGGAGGAGGAGGAGGAGGAGGGCGCCGGTGGATGGGTGTGCGCCCGACCCCCATTCCCTTCCCCGGGGTTCCTCTACGGCCGTGGTGGATTGCCCCCAGTGCTCACGAGCTCTCGGGGGCAGGAGAGTGAGTCCTTGCTATCAGCCCAAGTGCAGAAGGCGCTGGAAGGTGTGCACTACATCGCGGATCACCTGCGAGCCGAGGACGCCGACTCCTCCGTGAGTCGGGGCTGGGGAGGGGTTCCTGCCCTGGGGGTCTCTTCCAGCCGGGAGGGAGACCTCTTGCCCTGGGGTGCCAGTTGGGGGAGATGGACCCAAAGGCCCCTCCTGCTCAACTGTGGCCTTGGGGAGTTGGGGTGACATTGGGAGGTGGCCCAGTACTAGTGGTGGGTGTTAACTGACACATGGATTGGTGGGGGGTGGGGGGTGAGGCAGCATCAGTGCAGGGGTAGAACAGTGTCAGAGCAGGGGTGGAACAGCATCAAAGCAGGGATGGAATAGTGTCAGGGCAGGGGTGGAACAGTGTCAGGGCAGAGATAGAATGGCATCAAAGCTGCTATCGGGCTTAGCTAGACCTCCCGTCAGAGCTGGGTGCTCCCCCAGGCTCCCTGCCCCCCACCCCTGTTTGGTGACGTGACTTGGAAGTAGGGGATGCACCTGTGGGCCCTGAGTCTAATCTGGGCCACAGACTGTCCTCCTCCTTCTCCTCCTCCTCCTCCTCTTCCTCCTCCTCCTCCTCCTCTTCTTCCTCCTCCTCCTCCTCCTCTTCCTCCTCTTCCTCCTCTTCCTCATTTCCGGGCTCTGGGATCGGGTCAGCCTCACTGTCTGCTCACAGACCCCCTTGCACCAGACCTCTCCTTGCCTGCTTCCACTCGCCCCAGTCTGCTGGTACTTATTAGGGGCCAGGGACTGCCCCACGGGAATCCTCAGGCTAGATAGAGGAGGGAAGGTGGGAGGGAAGGCAGGAGGTGATTTCTAGCCCTTCTGAGCAGATAAGGAAAGGGCAGAGGACAGCGGGTGAGGGCTTACTTTGCACATGGCTGACCCTGGTTCCACCTCTGACACTGCACAGACCAGGAGTTAGCTCTGGGCCAAGTCGGGAAAGGGGAATCACTGTCACTATTGGGAGCTGCTGGGAAAGCAGGTGTTCCCTGAGCAGTGAACCCCCTGCCTGGGGCGCCCCTTCCTCCATCTTCTGCAGGTGGGTGGGGGAGAGTGGTGGGAGGTCTGAAACGCTGGGGGGGGGGGTCCCTCCTGCATTCCTGACTTGAACCCCGAGGGATGCCTTGGCAGGCTGTGGGCTGTGGGTGGGAGGGGAGAGAGAGGACAGAAGCCCAGGGAAGGGGTAACTGGCGCCTGGGATGGTCCCATGCACCCCTGCCCTGCTCTGGCCTTAGCCGCCCAAGTCCGAGGGCCCTCCCCCAGTTCCCGTTGGCAGGCCAGAGGACTGGGCATCTCCCTGGAGCTCATCTCTGTCCCCCTCCCCACTCAGGTGAAGGAGGACTGGAAGTACGTGGCCATGGTCATCGACAGGATATTCCTGTGGCTCTTCATCATCGTCTGCTTCCTGGGCACCATCGGGCTCTTCCTCCCTCCCCTCCTGGCGGGAATGATCTGAATCCCTACCCCCACACCCCACGCTGCCCGCCTCTCCAGCAGCCTTGGGGACCACACCACCCCTCAAGGGGCCCCACTGTCCCAGGACGCCCCCAAGAGAAAGAGAAGAGAAAGGGCTCCCCATGCAGGGCTGAGATGGCAATGGAAAGGGGGCACGCTGGAGGGCTTCCCGACTGGGGTTGGGGGGTATAGGCGCTGACTGCCCCAGATCCCTGAGTGGGAAAGCAGGTTGCCTTGTGGGGGGCTACAGAAACGGGAGGGAAGGCTGGAAGATACCTAAAGTGAATGGCCAGCTGATGGGTGGGGCCTTGGGCGGAGCTTGGAAGCAGTGGGCGGGGCATAGGCGGTTAGGGAGGGGACTGGGAGCAGTGGGCGGGGCATAGACTGTGAGGGTGGAGCCACAGAGTCCGATCTTGGGGGAGAGAAGTTCATTCAGAGTTGCGGTGGAGTGACAGGCCTTTGTGAGAGGTCAGCTAGGGCCACGCCTGTAGGATGGAGGTGTAGGGTGGACTCAGGTGGGGTGCAGGGAGCTGGGGCTGCCCTAGCCACTTGGGAAACATCTGCAGACCCCCTAGGCTCCCCTCCTGGCCCCCCAGCAAAGTTCTGGGTGACAGCTGCTGGCCTCTCTGGGAACCTGTGTAAGGGGCACCTCAGTCCTCGGGACCGGCAGGCATCCGGTCACTGCTGACCACCTCCGCTGCAGTCGCTCCATCCGTGCCCTAGTACCCTGCTCTGGAGACTGGACATCAGCAAGGCCCCCATGGACTGGGCATCTGGGAGGGGCAGACCGGCTTGCTTTGTACCCTGGATCCCTGCAACTGTCCTGGGGGGGTTCCACCGCCCAGACCCCTCTCAGGAACTGCTCCTGCACCTCTGAAGGGAGCAATGCCGGAACCTCAGGGGGGGCTACACGCTGGAGACCAGCTTCTACCCCCAGCAGTTAACAGACACGCGCTTGCCACCCTGAGAGGCAGCTGAATTCCTTTTGGCCCTTGGGGCTCCTTCCTTCCAACAGCCCCCCTCACTGGCCCCTGGAACCCTAAGCCTGTTGCCTTTCTGGACCCCCACTCTGTACCTTTCTGGAGTCTGAGTTCGGCTCCTGGCCCCTCCCCCCAGCCCAGTCTGCATGCGAGTAAAGAGATGAAGTGAAGCTGCTGTCGCTCATTCAGCTGGGGGCCCCTCGGCATCACCCTAGGGTCCAGATGTCTGGGTTCCAGCTGGGAGAGTCATTGGGTGGGAGGGCACTGCCTTAGGGTCCCCCCAGAAAGATGCTTCCAATCAGGCTCTGGGCACCCCACCCCCCAACTGCCTCCTCAGGCGGCTCTGGCCCTTCACCCCCCATGACATGAGTCCAGCTGTGACCCCAGTTCACAGCCACATCACTGCCCCACCAGGAGCGGGTCAGAGAAAAGAAACCACAGAGCAAATGGTACAGTTTTAATTCATTCACAAGGCAAATAGAAAGAAGAGAAGCGTCTTCCCCACATACACAGGGAAGGAGAGGAGGAAGAGGAGGAGGAATAAGAAAAGGGAGAGAGGGAGGGCAGGATGGGGAGCACGGGGGTGAGGAGGGCACCTCCCCCCCTTCCCTCTCTTCCTCCTCCATGCTCACAGCTTCCGGAGTCCTGACTCCTGACTGCCAGTCCCTGGACAGTGGTCCGGGGTCCCCTCAGTCTGGGACACCCAGCTGCCTATCCAGGCTGAGCTAATATTAAATAACCCCAATATACACAGTATGAGAGAGCTGGCCTGCCCCTCAACTCACCAGCGCCCCCCACCTCAATACTGGCCTCTACCACCTTGGGGGTCTCTGGTGGCTGAAAGGAAAGAGAAAGAACAGCCTGGCCCCCTATCGGCAGCCATGTTTGGATGGCAGAAACCTTCGTGGCTGCTGGGGGTACCCCTAGGACCCCCCCATTAAGAGGCCAGGCAGGTATGAGGGTGCGGCCGGCGGGATCTCTGTCCTCTGGTATCTACAGCCCTGCGTCAGGGGTCAGGGTGGGGAGGGGGTCGTGCAAAGTGGCCAAGGAGGAAGGCCGTCCCCCCACTGACAAGACCCCGATTCCGGAGGGGCCGGGGCAGCGCAGGAGGGGCGGGCGGGTCACTCCGGGGGCGGCTGCGCCAGGTTGGCCAGAACCTTGGCCTGGTCCACAGCGTCCAGCAGGTTCTTGGCGTCCACAGCCAGGGTGTGGGAGGCCGTGAGCATCTGCCGCTTGCACTCTGCACTCAGGGACGTCACGGCGTTCTGCTGCGCCAGCCGCATCTTGTTGATGAGCTCAGCCAGATCCTTGTTGAGCAGCTTCTGGGTCCCCTCGATCTGTGGGCGCAGGAGGCAGGGGGAGCCTGGGGGATGGCTGGGTGCAGGGAGGGGCGGGGGGAGCCTGGGGAATGGTTGGATACAGGAGGGAGGCTGGGGGATGGCGGGGTGCAGGGGGAGGCTCGGGGATGGCTGGCTGCAGGGAGGGGCTGGGGGAGGTGGGTGCAGGGATGGGTCGGGGGGAGGTGGGTGCAGGGATGGGGCAGGGGAGAGGCTTGGGGGCGGTGGGGTGGAGTGGGGGGAGCACAGCTGCAGGAGGGGCCTGTGGTGGTGGACCCGGCACTCACCTCTGTCCGGGACGACGGGGGCAGGGCAGGCAGGAGGCTGTCCACACTGCCAATGAGCTTCCGCAGAGTCAGGCCCACGTTCTGAGGAGACAGGGGCACCCCGGAACCATTAGTTTTTCCTAAAAGCCGCGTTTCCAGGGCCGGAGTCTCTGGGGACAGGAAGGACGCCCTCGGCCCTCGCTACTCTGTGTGTGTGTGTGAGCTCAGCTCAGTATGTGTGTGTGAGTGTGTGTGCGTGTCTGTGAGTGTGTGTGAGTATGTGTGTGAGCTCTGCTCAGTATGTGTGTGTGTGTCTGTGAGTGTGTGTGAGTATGTGTGTGAGCTCAGCTCAGTATGTGTGTGTGAGTGTGTGTCTGTGTATGTGTGTGAGCTCAGCTCAGTATGTGTGTGAGTGTGTGTGTCTGTGTGTATATGTGTGTGTGAGTATGTGTGCGTGTCTGTGAGTGTGTGTGAGTATGTGTGTGAGCTCAGCTCAGTATGTGTGTGTGAGTGTGTGTCTGTGTATGTGTGTGAGCTCAGCTCAGTATGTGTGTGAGTGTGTGTCTGTGTGTATATGTGTGTGAGTGTGTGTGTGCTCAGCTCAGTATGTGTGTGTGCGTGTCTGTGAGTGTGTGTATGTGAATGTGTGTGAGTGTGTGTAAGTGAGTATGTGTGTGAACTCAGCTCAGTATGTGTGTGTGAGTGTGTGTGCGTGTCTGTCTGTGTATGTGAGTGTGTGTGAGTATGTGTGTGAGCTCAGCTCAGTATGTGTGTGAGTGTGTGTGCGTGTCTGTGAGTGTGTGTATGTGTGTGAGCTCAGCTCAGTATGTGTGTGTGTATGTCTGTGAGTGTGTGTATGTGAGTGTGTGTATGTATGTGAGTGTGTGTATGTGAGTGTGTGTATGTGAGTGTGTGAGTGTGAGTGTGTCTGTGTTTTGGGGGTGTTCCTGCTGGCCCACACCATGCTCTCCGCTTCCCATCGGGGCTGCAGGGCCTCCTGCCCCGGGGTCCCGGCCCACCTTCACCACCAGCACGTAGCTCTCGGGGGGCAGCTGCGCCAGCTCGTCCTTGAGCTCCAGCACGGCGCGCACCAGCTCCATAACGTTCATGTACACCTGGTCGTCTGTGCGGTCCAGGTTGGCCGTGGGCTGGATGCTCTGGGGGCAGGTGCAGGTGAGTCCGGGGGCTCTTCACAGCCTGGCGCAGATTCTCCTCTGCGAACTATGGCGCCCCTCTCTGGGCTCCCTCAGCCCACCTTCTGACCAGAACCCACCCCAGTCCCTTGTGCCCGCACCCACTTGGGCATGCAGAGTCCCTTGGGTGGGCCTGACATTGAGGGTCCCTCTGTTGGGGTGCGGAACCCTCCCCCCCAGTGCCCCAGCCTACTGCAAGGAAATCCCGAGACAGAAAGGGGGTCTCTGCCCTGCAGGACGGGCTGCAAGGGCGGGTGGGCACAGGAGACCAGCCCCCTTGGGCTCTCGGGAGCGGCTGGGCGGTTCAGGTCCTGTCTCCAGTGGAATAATGGAAACTCGGGAGCCTCCCAGCCAACACGTACCTGAGTGCCCAGCCGTGGTGGCTTCTGGGGGGGCCCCGTGAACTCCGCTACAAGGGAGAGACAGAGTCGGGGGGGGGGGTCTTGGCAGCTGGCCTGCCTGGCTAACCTCCCAGAAGCCCCCAGAGCAGGAAGTCAGGAAAAGTGCCACCGCTGGTCCAGCTACTCAGGGAGAAGCTTGAGGTCCTTTTTTTTTTTTGGCCCTGGGGAGCCGTGTCCACTCTGGCCTTGAGGAGCGGGAGGAGCGAGGGTGTCTATGCTGGGCACAGGAGACCCACACAATTCTCCCCTGCTCTGAGCAGCAGATGCGAGCACTTGTGGTGGCTGCCAGAAGGAGACATTTCCGGTGCCTCTCCCCTCCACTGCCAGGGAACCCACGACCATCCCTGGCCCTAAGTGTCCACCAATCAATATGGGGGCAACAGGGGGCACTGGAACCAGCTGGGATCTGAGCTGTGCTCACTGCCAGCTGTGTGGCCGTGGAGAGATCACTCCACCTTCTGGGCTTTGGGTAGGGAGAGGGGGTGCCAAGGAGTGGGGAGGTGGGTCCCTGTGTAGTCTGAGTCCAAATGGGGCCGACCTCCTGGAAGGCTCTGGGGTCCCGGGGGAGTGGGAGGGGGGACAGGTTGCAGAGGACACAGGCTCAATCCTGCAATTGCAAATGCAGAGAAAACCCAAAGGCTCCAAGCAAAGTGAACGCTTCCTCGGATCAAGGGACTCTCTGGCCTTCTACAGCAAGCCACAAGGCAGCCCCCTCATGGGCCCCGATACTCAGGGAATCCCCTCCCAGGGGGGCGCAGGCACTTACTGTAGCCAGCTTCCTTCTCCGGGGTCTGGAAGGAAGCAAAGAGAGTGGTGTGACCAAAGCAGCTCTGGGCTACTCCCATCTAAACTGGCCCCCACCCCCCAGCCGTGCATGGGAGGTCTCAGCTGACCAGGATGACCTGCCCTGGGGGGTTCTTATGAGAGACTGAAGACCTCAGGGCGGGGCAGGAAGAGGGTCGGTCATGAGTGATCAGGAAAGCACCCTTGTGGGGGGGAGAGGGAGGCGGAAGGGGAGACAAGGCCCCCCCCCCCCGCCCCCAGGGAGAGGGGCAGGGCGGGAAGGAGACATGGGAATACCTGTCTAGAGCTGGGGTCCTGCTTTTTAAATTAAAAAAGTTTTTTGTTTTGTTTTTGGGTCCCACCCAGCAGTGTTCAGGGCTCACTCCTGGCTCTGCACATGGGGTCTCTCCTGGCGGGGCTCTGGGGGACTATATAAGGGGTGCCCATGATTGAACCCAGACTGGCCAAGCATAAGTGCTCTCTGCGCCAGCTCTCCAGTCATGCCCTGCTCTCTACAAGCCTTCCCAGGCCCAGACACCGCCCCCGCAAAGGACTTACCAGTGGGGACTTATCGTTCATGTAGACCATGGGGTCCTACAGAGGAGAAAACCAAAGCCCGGAGCTTAGAGTTCTAGAATGGGTCCCCCCAGAATGCATGGAGAACGTTCGCCCGAAGCCCAGGGGGAGGGTTTGCTCAGGGCCCAACATCCCCACCCCGTGGCCCTGCCCCGTGGACAGTGGGGTCCCCCACCCCGGGTCCTGATCTGCGGACAGTAGAGTCCCCCGTCCCAGGCCAGTGTGATGGGGGTCGCCGTCCCCTGGGGCCCCGCCAGCGCACCAGGGAGCGCTCCTCCTGCCGCAGCCAGCGGTAATCCTCGGCCATCTGCTTCTGCTGTGTGTCCAGCACCTGGCGCAGCCTCAGCCTCTCAGCCTCCCACAGCTGCTGGGCCTCCTCCCTGCTGCTGGGCCGGAAGAAATCCTCCTCCTATGATCCAGGGGCACAGAGTGGGGCATGATGAGCCAGGTTCTCCAGGAGCCTGTGGGTGCCTCTCCCAGGAGCAGGGGCTGGGAATGCACTGTCGGGAGTGCGGAACCTTCCGGATGGTCCCTTGGCCCAGCATGGTCTGGGATGGGGAATGCACCACCGTGGGTGCAGGGGGGAGCTTCTGGATGGCCACTCAGCCCCAGCATGGTCTGGGCTGTATTGTGTCACTGAATCCAGGGACCTGCTTTGCTGATCCTGCTCCCCAGAGGACATGACCTCTGGCACCATTTCTTTATCCTTTCGTTTTGGGGTTGGGGGTGGGGGACCACACATGGAGATACTCAGGGCTTACTCCTGCTTCTGTGCTTGGGAATCCACCCCAGCAGTGGCCCTAGGCTGGAGGACCCTATATGTGGGGCCAGGTTGGCTGCGTGGAGGCAAAGCGCCTCCCACTGAGCCATCTCTCTGGCCCCCCCCCCAGCACTGTTTCCCACAGGAAACACAGCCAGGTCACCACAGGCAGGGGTGGGGTGGGGTGTGGTGCCCCCTGAGGTCCTTGCAGGTACTGGACACATGGACCACCACGTGAGGTAACAGCTTCATCCCCCACAATTTGAGGAAAAAAAGAACATTGTGAATGTTGGTGAGAGTGCAACAGGGCTGAGCACACACCTTGCCTTGCAAGAGGCCAGACTCTATCCCGACTCGGCCAGCACCAAGCTGCCCCTGAGCACTGAGGGGCACTGAGTGGCGACCACTTCCAGTGGCATGCAGGGACTCAGGAGCATGGGGGCCAGGCATCAGATCTGAGGTCTTACACATTTAGGGTGGATGCTCATGGCAAGCCATATCCCTGCTGCTCCCATGCAGGAATTTCCAGCTGGAATGTCCTGCTGTCTGTCCACCCGCTGACCCATTACCAGGAAACTCCTAGGTGGACAGCACAGGGCTGCGAGCTGAAGGGGCAGCTCCAGGGTAATCCTCTCCTGGATGAGGATCAGTAGTGATATGAGGGACTGGTCATTCTGTGTGTGTGTGTCCTGTCCATGCTGTGTAGCAGCACTGGGTGCCACCCCCCACAATGTCTACAGCACCGCCCCAGTTGTGACCCAGAACCTCCACACACCCCCCACATAACTTTAAAGTTGGGGCTGGAGAGATAGGGACAGCAGGCAAGGCACTCGTTGTGTTTGCAGCTGACCTGGGCACCACACAGTCTCCACTAAAGTGACCCCCGAGCACGGAGCCAGGAGTATGCCCTGAGAACCGCTGGGGGTGGCCCACCCTGCCCTCCAAACTATGAAAAAGCTATAGGATTTGAGGGATCCCAGGCAGCCACTGTCCCACCTGGATCTTGGACAAGCATCAGAGATTGGTCCTGGGGTTTCCATTTAGTAATAAAATGCAAGGGGAGAAAAATGTGATTTTTAAGAAATTGGATGATGTTAGGGCATCCTCATTGGAAACCTTACCAGACCATAGAGACATAGGTCTCCAGTTGCTCTGGACAGGAATCCGGGACCTTGTGGTGAGGGACAGTGACCCTCGGCAGCTGGGACACTTTGCAGTCTGGCCTCCCTGGCCTGCTCTTCCCGACATCCTGCTCCCTGCTGCGTGCCATCCAGATGACTCGCATCCACTCACAATCACAGCCCCTACTGCTGCCTCTGCCTGTTGGTCAGCCCTCTCCCATACTTCACTTCCTGTGCCCAAACCTTCCCCGAACTGGAATGCCCAACAGGAAAAGAAAAAAAGAATCTGGAAAGAGTCCTTGTCTCTGAGGTCCCAGCATCCTGGAAAAACTCAGGAATCTCAGGCACCCTGGCTCACAGCCCAGGTAAGGGAGGACCTGGCCTGTCCCCCGCCTCCCCTTCCCCCCAGACTGACTCCATGCGTCTTGAAGGCAGAATTGCGCACGGTTCTTTTCAGCACCCCGGACAGCTCCCCACGAGCAAGTGCGCTTGCTTGCAGAGTAAGAGTGCCCATTGGCTGCCTTTCACTCTTGGAAAGCCCAATTTGCCAGGAGGGGAGAAGGGCCCCATCCGGACTCTGGTACTGACACCCACAGATTCCCAGAGGAATCCGGCAGTGAAGTGGGCCAGCCGAGAGACGGCCTTTGAGGGGAACCATCTGTGCTTTCATGGCCTCTCCAGGGAACCCATTCTACCTTCCCCACATTCTACCTGGAGAGGCTTTCTTCCTCCGTGCTTCTGATGTGGACCAGAAGATGGAGTTGATATTTTTAACCTTTTGTGGAGGTTTATTTAAAGAAGAGCTCATTATGTTCTTCATGGCAAATGCTGCTAAACCTGACACAAAAGGTCCCTTTTCTGCTGGCACAGTCTGGCTTTGTGGCACCAAACAAGGTCCTTTTTGGAAGGAGGGCTGAGACAAAGGCAACAATGCCCTCCCCAAGGACCCATTAAAGTGAGAAGCAGCTTATTCCTAAAGGGTGCAATTTAAAGCAAAACTCATTAGAACTCAATTAATTGTGAATAAAGAGTCAGGGGCAGGCAGACAGAGGGGCCCAACAGTGCCTGAGCTGGAACGCTGGGCTCAACATGCAGTTTGATGATTGTTAAGTACATGCTAAGGCGTAAATGGGTTCAATGAATGTGAGAGAGAAACAGGAGCAAGGCCAGCAAATGTCCATTCCCTCCCACTGGGGCTCTCGCTGCCGAGAATTCCAAGAGACCCCACACATTTCAAAATCTTGCTGCATTAAGGCGGCTAGCATGGGCTGCAGCCACAAGCTCCCCTGCCTTTTCTGAATCAATGGTCCAAACACATGTGATTTTACCCCAAATGTTTTGAGTCCCATATTCTGCGCCTGAAGTCTCATGCATGCAGAGCTGAGGCAGAAGGGTTAGAATCTGTCACATGGCAAGATCCAGCTAAACGGGATCTATCCAGGATTCAACAGCAACAGAACTATTAGTGCTACAGGAGCAGACATTCAGCGATAGTCAGGCTTTGGTTACTGGCAAGCCTTGAAAGCTAGAACCGGAGGTCTTGGGGTCACTGCTGAATACCTCCAGGAAGTGACTGGGGACGGCGGCTTGGCCCCAGCCCCTACCCAGGTGGCAGCAATATTCACAAAAGCAGCCAGAGCCCTAGCAGAAAATCTATCCTTTGACAAAGGAAGATTCAGCTACCCAAGTGATGGGGGGAGGAGAAGGGGGAAGGGAGGAATGGGGGGTAGGAGCAGGCGGTGTCTTCAGACACTCAAGCTTGCCCACTCTCTGCTGGACCCCCAGGGCTCAGGAAAGGGGGAGCTTCCACTTCATTCCCCAGAGCCCTCGGGTGGAACCAGCAGCTTCAGCAGGAGTCATGAGGGGCAGCCTGGCCTGGCCCCCGCCCCGCGCCCTGATATGTTTTCCAGGGAAGGGCCCAGACACATCCCAGGCCACCTCTGTCCAGCAGGGAGCCAGCATAGAGAGCTCTCTTACCCGCATGCTGTGTCGCTTGAAGACATTGTGTCGATGGAGAGGTGGGGTGTGCAATGAGTTTACGGGAGATGGGTACTCCATGGGGCTGGTGAGCGTAGGCGAGCTGGCACACAGACCCTCGGGCACCTAAACAGTAGCCAAGAAGCACCGGACACAGAGACAAAGCAGAGAAGGGGAGTTAGCAGCCACAGACAGGAGCACAAACAAACGATACAAGAGCAGTTCGAGAGACACAGGACTCGCTCTAGGAGACAATGACAAGTGAGGCGTAGGCACGGCACAGGCCCCTCGGGAGAGAGACGCCCTGATGGAATGCCCGAAGTTCTCGCTGGAGTCAGCGCCTCGACAACCTCATCTACCCACATGATACTCTGCGTGGAAGGGAGGTGTCCATCCACATCACGGATCCCCTGGGACCACGTGTCCCCTCGGACTCTTTGAGAGAGAGAAGTATTTCATAGTCATGCTACACACATATGATGGTTCATGTTAGCTCAAGAGCACCCTATGGGCACATCTGTGCCTACGCACTTACTCATGCCAACATGTACATATAATCACGGCATAGGGACAGTGTCTCTGTATGTGACGGTCACATATTTGCACGGAGAACTGGGCTGATGCCCTTTTATAACTGTTTTAAATACTGCAAGACTATCCCTGGAGGGACAACACTTCTGCCTCTGCATCAAGACTCCCCCTGCCAAGTCCCCACCCCAAATCTTTTTTTCTCCACACTAAAAGGATTTTATCTATTGGTTTTGATACCTATTAGTTCTTACAGATAGGGGATTTATCTTCTGGTTCTAATATCTATTTAGATATTAGAGTTCTAATATCTATTCAAATATTAATGTTCTAATATCTATGTAGATATCTAAGTTATGTTGGATGGGGGATTGATCAGCTGTCCTGACACTTGATTGGTGTCTGAAGATGGGTCCCCCAATGCGCAGACATCGCTTCTAGTTTTGGAGGTGCTCCGTGGCTGGCCTACAGGCTATACGGAGAGGCTTGGATTCCCACAGCCCAGAGTCAGGAGAGGCAGTGGAGGGGGTTCTGAGGTGGGAGCCTGCAGCCTGGGCAGTTCCCAGGTTGGTGAGGGTGGAGGAGGGGGTGCCGTCCTCACCTCCCTGTCCACCAGGTTCTGGGCAGAGCCTCTGTGGGCAGCTCCAGGGATAAGACCCACTAGACCTGCACAGCCTGCTTGGACATGGCTCTGCTTGAAGCAGGGCTGCAGGGGGACCCAGCTCTGTGGACAAAGAGGGGCCCGGCTCCATGGACAGGAGGATGCAGTGCCATGGACAGTGGCCAGAGGCTGCCCTGCCTTCCTTTGCCAAACACGTTGCTTCTTTATCCCCTGTACACTCTGACTTCAGGTTCTCTTCTGAATGTCCACGAAGAGCTCCCAGAGGCATGTCCAGGGCCCGAAGGCACAGAAAGGTTCAGGTCAGGTTGGAGGGCAGGGACAAAGCCCCCGGCGCACGCGTACCTGGAACTGCAGCTTGGGGGCCAGCAGGTTGGTCTGCGTAGGAGGGGGCCTGTACTTGGGTCGGCTGGGCTGGGGAGAGAACAAAGGCGCCGGTTACCCCAATGCCCCTCTGGGCAGGAGCTCGAAGATGGCCAGGCTGGTCTGGACCCGAGGGCCAGATCACGTCTGAAAGCGCTGGATTCTGCCAATGGCCATTCAGGTCACATCAAGGCCTGGGCAGGAGCAGGGAGGGGCCTCTGTGCCCTGGGGTCATGATGATGAGAGGGGGTCCCTGTCCCCATATGCATTCTCCCTAGGGAGGGAACAGCTGTCCCTAAGTGATGCAGAGACCCTCGACATTCAGAAGGAGGTGGGGGTGGGGTGCTAAAGCCGTCCAGGGACTTCGTGCAAAAGGTGACTGTGGAGTGGGGTGGGGGGACAGGCTGGCCTGCAAGGGGCACAGAGGAGAGCTTTGTGCTGGAGGGGACAGGGCTACAATGTGTCCAGAGTCCAGCCACAGTCCACAGCTGGCAAAGGTGAAGGTAACTGGGGAGGTAATGGAGGTGAGATGAGGTGCTGAGGGTTCACCGTCCTTCCAAGATGCAGAGACACAGTCACACTCACTGTCCCCCCTCTTCCCCCTGTGACCCCAGTGGGAACTGGCCGCCTGTAAGCAGGCCCTCAACAGTCAGCAGGTTTGTTGGGCCCTAGAGTGGCCTTCCCGGCCTGCACCTGTCTGTTGGTCAAGCTGCCCCATAGTGGCACTTAGGCACGGCAGGCAGGTTGATGAATACAGGCATGGCCCTCCAGGCCCACCCAAGTAAAAGGCAGCTGGATACTGGTCCCAGTCCCAGAGATTCCCTGGAAGGGGGGATGTAAGGCTCCCCCAAGGGGCTCCAGTGGGACCAAATTCTGCCCACAAAGTGGCCAGAGCAGCAGCACTGCTGGGTGTGGCCCCCAAACAAAGAAAACAAAACAAACTTATCCCCATGGAACACTGGGAGCTCCAGTCTCTAGTCAGGGGGATGCTTTGGGGCAGAGCGCAGCTGTCCCCTGGGTCTGGGCTTTTGCCGACTCAGCCCGGCTAGCAGGACGACGCCAGGCAGAAGGGCCCAGAGCGGCGGGCTGGGAGCAGAGCGTCTGTCAGGGCTCACCTTGGGTGGGGGTTCCTGGAAGGCCGTGGGCTCCAGGATTTTGGGGGGTCTGTAGCGGGCATTCCTCTCCTGCTCCATGGCGATGTCCTTCTCCATCTGGTAGATGTCACTGCCAAGGAGTGGTCAGAAGAGGGGATGGACATGGTCACCGAGGCGCCCCACGTTCCCCTCCGTCAGCCACTGAAGCCTAGATGAAGATCCCCACCCTGGCCCCCTCTCCAGCTCCTATGCTGAGCAGGGAAAACCATCAGGGACACACAGAAGGTGGCCCCGTGCGGAGGCCAGAGCATGGCAGGAAGGAAAAATTCCAGAGTGGGCACATGGGTTGGAGGGCACGCAGCGGGCAGGGCAGGGCACTTGTCTTGCCCATCGGGGTCTATTCCCTGGGTGGCAGCACTGAGTGACCTTGGTCCCACCCTGCCCTCTGACTGTCACACCTGGGAGGACACCAGTTTCAGGGGCAATGGTGGGAGTGTGAAGGAACAGCTCCGAGGGCAGGGGGCCCCAAACCCGAGGATCAGGGCCTACCTCCTCCTGTGAGGGGACCCAAGACCCCGAAATCCTGAGGGCTGCTCCTGGTGGCCCCTGCACTGTGGGTGGGCTCTAGCTTCTGCCCTATGGGTGAGTTCTAACTGCAGGGTCCCTGCCCTGTGGGTGGGCTCTAACTCCCAGGGTCCCTGTCCTGTGGGTGGGCTCTCTGTCCCAGGGCTGTGCCCGCAGCCCCCACCCCTCTCACCTGAGGCTGCACACGAGCTCGGTGAAGCGTGGCCGCTCACTGGGGTCGTAGTCCCAGCAGCGGGTCATGAGGGTGTAGAGGATGGGTGGGCAGAGGTCAGGCTTGGGCAGCCGGTCACCCTTCTCCAGCACCCCGATCACGTCCTTGTTCTCCAGCCAGAAGAAGGGCTGCTTCCCGAAGCTCAGGATCTCCCACATACACACGGCTGCAGGCAGCAGGGGGCGCTCAATGAGCGCCCCTCCCCCCCGCCTCTTGCCCGCTCCCCCAGGGAGGAGGCCCAGACCCCACCCTGCACGTGAGAGTGACCAAAGCTACCACTCCAGGGAGCTGGAATCATAGGGGCGTGGCAGGTGGGCCATCAGAGGCTAGGATCTGGGGGTGCATCTCAGGGAGCTTCTGTCGCCCAGCTGGGGCTGAAGCTGGCATCGACCACAGTGAGCCTCAGTTTCCCCAGATGAGAAGTGAGGAGAACAGTGATGGTAGAAGAAGCCATCTACACAGTGTGAGCCGAAGGCTGCACTCAGCCTGGACCTTGTCTCATCAATCCCTGGACCTCCCTCAGAGCTCGCCTCGGAGGGTCTCTCTGGGGGTCTCTGCCTCACTGCCCAGGCACGGAGGGCAGGGCTCGCCTGCCTCAAGAGCCCCTGCAGGAAGGCTGGTCAGCACGCAGCCCCAGGAACATCTCTGGGGGCTGAGGAGAAACAGATCCCTCTCAGCCAGGTTACCTGCAGGGTCACAATTAAATTCCACCCACCCCCCCAGCCCACTCACCAAACATCCAGACGTCACTGGCTGTGGTAAAGCGGCGGAAGTTGATGGACTCGGGGGACATCCATTTGATGGGCAGACGAGTCACGGAGGCTTTATGGGGCCACAGAATTGTCAGGAGACATTTAGAGAAGAAAATTCCGCTTATTCTCCAGATCCCAGGACCTCTGTGGCCCTGATCATAGCTGGTATTTTTGGGGTGGGGGTTGGGTGGATGTTGACTTCAACATCCTCCCAGGGTCAAAGCAGAATCTAGGGAGTGCCCCCTCCCCCGTGGGGACACCCCCTCACCTTTGTAATACTCCTCATCTTCAATGTACCGGGAAAGGCCAAAGTCTCCCAGCTTCACACACTCCGGGGAGGCCACCAGGATGTTCCGGACAGCGATGTCCCTGTAGGAAGGACCAGAAGGCTTCAGAGACCTCAACGCACAGATCAAGGGACAGCGGAAGGAGGACCCCGGCCAGGGATCCGGAAGCTTCTGTTGATCAGCAAGCCTCATCCAGCACCTCTCTGCTTGGCCCCGCCCCATTCTTCTCAGCCCCGCCCACTGCCCCTGAGGGCCCTTCCCTTCCTGGGCTGACTCGGCCAGGCCCTGGGAGCATCACTCCCCATCACCACTTCAACAGTGGAGTGTCTTCAATGGAAACTGGGTTCCCGGCTCTCACTTGCCCTGTGACTTCCACACCTGCTGACGGCATCCTGGGTTTTCTGCATCCAGCCCACCTACCCCAACTCGCCCCCTCCCTCCAGCTACTGCACCGTTTGGGTTGATGAGCAACAGAGCGTCTGTATGGACCGAGAGAGGAACAGCTATGACCAGCTATGACCAGCTATGACCGAGGCATTTGCATGCTATGAGGCGCCCAGGAGAAGAGCCAGGGTGGGCCTACAGCCTATGGGAAGGCATGTATGGACCCTGCACGTCCTGTGCTGTTTTATCCAGGGAACTCCAGCACCCTCAGTGCCAGGCACCCACAGGGGTCCTGAAATCAACCCTGCGGCCCTGGTGGGATGACAACACTGGCCCTATTACTGTTGGTTCTTTGAGGAAGCTTCCTATCAGCTTTCTGGGTCCCAGTGATCTCTGCAATTCCAGGCAGTGGACGGCTCAGGTTCTTGGGCTTGCTTGGAGCTGATTGCAAGGGAGAATCAGGCACCTCAAAGATTCACCAACTCATGATTTAGATATTCTGGGGGTCCTGAGCACAGGGGAGATGCCCAGAGTGCCCAGTTCTCATGTGTCCCAGAGGGGGACCTACTGACTCAGTTTCCCTGGAATTCTGGCCTTGCCACAGATTCACTCCCTATCACTGATGTTACACACACTCTGGAGGTAGAGCTATTTTCCCTTCATCTCTGCTCCATGGCTTTTACAGCTCATGTTTACCATCTTACTAGAAGACAAGCTCCAGGAGAAAAGGGATTCCTATCATCATTAGAAGAATATTTGCTGGATGAGTGAGTAAATGAGTGAGTGAATGAGTGTGTCAGCAGGTGAGTGTGTGAATGAGCATGGGTGTGAGTGAGAGAATGAATGAATTAATGAGTAGATGAGTAGTGAATGGTGAATGAGTATGAATAGATGACTGCATGTATTGGTGTGTGAATAAGTGAATACATGAATGAACAACTGAATGAAAGAGTGTGTGAATGAGTAAATAAGTCAATGAGAGTGAATGAACAAGTAAATGAATGAGTGCGTGAATGAGTGAATGAATGAATGAGTGAATGAGTAGATAAGTGAATGAACAGATGAGTGAATGAGCGTGTACGCAGATGACTGTATGAATGAGTGCGTGAATGAGTGTACTATATGAGCGAGTGATGAATGGGTGTGTATGTGAATATGAGAATGAGTAAGTGAGTCGAGGAGTGAATGAGTAAGTGAATGAGTGAATAGTTAAGTGATGAGTGAGAGTGTGAGTGGATGGCTGTGAATGAGTGAATGAACACATGCATGAATGAGACAATAGGTGAATTAGTGAGTACATGAATGAGTGAATGAATGGGTAAATGAACATGTGACTGAGTGAATGAGTGATGGAATGAGAGATGGGATAAGTGACTGAATGAGTGATTGGGAGATGACATTAGTAAGTGAAAGATGACTGAATGAATGACTGAGTGATGAGTAACTGAATCAATGACTAACTGAATAATTGAATGACTGAGAAATGGGGAAGTGATTCAATTGAGTGATGAGGAAATGAATGAGTGGCTGAAGGACCGAATGACTGAGTAATGAGGATGTGAATGAGTGAATGACTGAGTAATGAGGAACTGAATGACTGAATGACTGATTATTTAGGAAGTGAATGAGTGAGTGAATAAATGACAGAATAATGAGTGCTGAATGAGTAATAGAAAAGTGAATGACTTAATGATGACGTAATGAAGAAGTGAATGAGAGACTGACTGAACGAGTAGTGAGAAAGTGACTGAGTGAATGACTGAATGACTGAGTGATGAGGAAGTGACCGAGTGAATGAATGAATGCCTGAGTGATGAGGAAGTGGCTGAGTGAATGACTGAATGACCGAGTGATGAGAAAGTGACTGAGTGAATGACTGAATGACTGAGTGATGAGGAAGTGACTGAGTGAATGAATGAATGCCTGAGTGACGAGGAAGTGGCTGAGTGAGTGAATGAATGCTATCTTCAGTGTGGCTTTGCATCATCTCCCCCGAGTCACGTGACTGACCAGGTATCTTGGAGTTTGGAAAGCACTAGTTCGCTGCAGTGCTCCAGAGCGCCCATCCAGTCTCTGGCTCCCTGAGAACACATCTCAGCTGTGGCAGAAACCCCTTTCCAGGGAAGGGGCACAGAGCCCAACCGTGCCTCTGTTGAACTAAACCGTCTGTGGGCGGATGACGGTCACTGAGGCCGCTCAAGGGGTGACTGGACAGTCCCAGGGTGCTGGGCTCAGCGGCTGCCCCCGCTGTTTGGGCGGGAAGGATGGGACCAAGATCTGCTCTGCAACTGCCCTTCACTTGCTTCACGTTCGCCCCATATGGTGGCCAGGACAGGGAGCACTGGGCGGCAGCAGGGATCATTTCCCGGCAGGCCCCGGGTGGCCGGCAGGGCCCCGGAGGACAGTCAGACGCTGGGGCCTGACCCCTCACCTGTGCACACAGTTGATGCTCTCCAGGTAGGCCATGGCCTTGCAGACCTGCAGCGAGTACAGGACCAGCGTGAGCACCTTCAGGGTGCTCTTGTTCCTCTCCAGGTAGTGGCCCAGCTGTGGGGAGAAGAGGAGTGAGGTCAGGTGTGGGGGTGGAAAGGGAAGTGACATGAGAGGGCCGGAAGGGGAGTGACGTCAGGCAGCTGGAAGGGGAGTGACGTCAGGGAAGGGAAGTGATATTAGAAGGCCAAAAGGCGGTGATATCAGTTCAGGAGTGGAAAGGGAAGTGATGTCAGAGGGTCAGAAGGGATGTGACGTCAGGAAAGAGGAGTGATGGCAGGGGCCAGTGATCGGGCCAGGCTGGGAGCTTGGCCTTCGGCCACTGGGCTCTTCCATGGAGGGAGGAAGGTTGGCAGAGCCTCTAATTAACATTTCCCTCTACCAGGGGCTATGGGTGGTTTCTAAGTCTAGGCAGGAGGCCAGAGCGAGGGGCCACTGCCTGCCCCTCCATGTCCAGCCAGGGCTCACCTCTCCGTGGGCGTACAGCTCCATCACGATCCAGATGGGCTCTTCCTCGATGATGCCGATGAGCTTGACGATGTGTGGGTGGTCCAGGTTTTTCATGATTACTGAAATAGGTGGCAGGGAGGGTCTCGGGCTGAGGTCCCTTGGGAACGGAGTTCTGCGGGGTGGGGTGGGGGGACACAGGCCAGGGTGCGTCCCCGCTCCGGCACCCACCTGCCTCGCTCATGAACTTCTCCTTGTTGTCCTGGGTGCAGTCCTTCTTACAGGTCTTCACGGCCACATGCACTTTCTCCCCTTTCTGCAAGGAGAGGGAGTGCAGGGCTGGGGGATGCAAGGGGGTGCAGGGAGGAGGCCCTCCCTCCCACGTCACCACTCACTTCCCACAGCCCCACTGCACAGGTGACATCAGATGCAGGTACAGGGAACCCGCAAGGACTCTGGGGCTCCGACAACTCAAGCCTCTGCCTGCCTGGATCAGGGTATAGTCACCCCCAAAGCGGGACCCAGGCGTGAGCTCGGCCAGTGCTGGGACCCTCCTCCCTGTGTTAACGGTTCTGTCCTCACTCCCAGGGGGGCTTGCACGAAGTTCAGCTCACAGAGGCAGAAGTTGCCCCCGCAACCTGACCCGGCCCCTCAGCCCTTCGTCCACTCCCTGAGCACCTATGCCCAGGACACACACACACGCCCCCTCCCCGGCCCCAACCCCCTGGCCCCGCACCTCCCAGGGGCTGCCCTCGCTCTGCTTCTCCGGGGAAATGCTCCCTGGGAATTTCATTCATGTTGTGAATGCCAAGTGTCAGGCCCTTCATGGCTCAGAACATTCCAGAAAGCCCCAGAACATTCCATATCCCAGCCCCTCTCTCATCCCCAGTGGAGAGCAGAGGATGAGCGAAACTCACGTGATTTGTGTAGACCCCCTCGTAGACCTCCCCAAAGAAGCCTTCCCCGAGAATCCGATTCAGAACGACGTCCTCTCGGGAAACACCGTACTGGTGGCCTGTGCGGGTGGAGAGAGCCGGACATACTCAGATCCGGGCACCCCATCCCCATCACAGCCCGGTCGATACCCGGGGGCTGGGCAGGAGAAGGGCTTCCTCTGCAAACCCACAAAGGGTCCCATAGCACGGACAGTGCGGGGCTGAGGGTGCCTTCACAGATCATGGCCTCAGGGGCCTGGCTGAGGGGACGGGGCCCCCCAGAGCCACAAGGTCAGGCCCTACCTCCCGACCTTCGCAGGGTCTCGTCGGGGATCTCCGCGTAGATGTCCGACTCTGCAAGGGCAGTGAGAGAGGGAGGTGGGCGGGTGGCCCCCGTGGCTCTTGGGGACCATGCAAATGGGGACATCAGGGGAAAACCCCACTGGGGGCTGAGACCCCCGGCTCTGCCCAGGCTCAGCGTGGTCGCAGTGCCTGACCCCGACTTGCACCCCTTTCTCCCATGTCTTTTCCACGAGATGCATGTCCAGGGATGCGGCCACCTTTCATGCACTCAGTTGTGCTGTGTTGTGGTCTGAGTGTTGGTGGCCCCAAATGTGGACATCCAGGTCCTGCTTCCCCCTCCCCCCCCACTGCAGTGGGGCAGTCCTGGAGGGGTAAAGCCATGGGTGAGCACTGGGTATAGATTAGGTCCTCCTGGGGTGGGAGGGTGTTATCGATGGCCTCTTAAGAGCAAGAGGTCAGAGCACTCAGCTCCCCAACATGGGCGCCTGCTGGCCAGGGACGGCCTCAGCAGGTGTGGACCCTGCCTTCACTTTGGATATCTAGCCTTGACCTTGAATGACCAGCCTCAACCTTGAACATCCAAGCTTGACCTTGACCTTGGCCAGCCTCAACCCTGGATGTTCAGCCTCAACCTTGAAGTCCAGCCTCTAGAATGTAGAGGTCGGTGCGGGTGGTGTCCTGGGCTGCATGTCCCCAGGCTGGTGGGCTGGCTCACCTATGCTGCAGCTCTCCGACAGTTGCGAGCGCCGGGCCTCCAGGTTCCTTTGGGAGAGGCACAGTGAGCCCCCGGGCACTCTCGCCCACCCTTGGCCACCCCTGGCAGCCTCCCCCCACTCCCCCCCGGAGCGTGGGCCAGGCCAGGAGTGGCTCCGTCTCCCCCACTCCTCAACTCCATGCTCCTGACGGGTGACCACAGGACTCCAGAAGCCCCTGCCACAGTTCACTGGGAATTCCCCAGGGAGAAGTGGGCCCCTGGGAAGCACCCAGAGCTCCCGGGCCATGGGAAGCAGGAAGGCGTGGGGGCGTAGAGCAGCCCCAGGTACTCACAGCATGGGGATCTGGGGCAGGCTGCTTCGCTTCTCGCCATCTGGGGAGACGGAGGAATAGGGCTGAGGCAGGGCACGGGTCCCTCAGGGGTGAACCTCCCCTTCCTTGAGCCACACTGGGGGCCCACCCACCACTGCCCCCCACAACCCCTGTAGGATTAACATTGGTTGTCCTTTCTCCCTTGCTACAGAGAGCTTAGGTTTTTTGGGTGGTGCCCATCACAGTGCTATTGAAGCGCCTCCATTCCTCTGTGTTTATTGGAATGTAGCTCTGAACATTTTTAGGATAACATTGGCATGTCCTGTTTCCCTTGCCACAAGGAACTCAGAGTTTATTACATGCTCCTGAGGCACTTCCATTCCATTGTGTTTATCTGCAAACTCTTCCCTATGCTCTCCTCTCCAACCAGTTAATCAGCTTTTTTTCCCTAATCAGACTCTGTTAACTTGTAAGGTCAGATTCCTCAGAAATCTATGATTTTATATGTATGAGTGAAATATTGTCTTTCTCTTCCCCTTCTGTCTTTTGAATAGTTTAAAGCAATGTCCTTCTTGTATAGACCCAGGAAGACAGTTGATATTATGCTTTGTAATTTGCGATTTAATTGGCTTAGAATATTATTCGCTCCTAGGCATCTGCTTTTATGACTTAAGCCTCAGTTGCCCTTAGTTCCTAGCATCCCAGAAGCAGGGTCCCAACGAGGGACTGAATGGACCCAGGGCAAGCTGTGAGCTACCCTGGCAATTGAAATGGGCCAGGCCAAAGTGCCACAATTTTTAACTATAAGTTAAGAGCTTGATCATAGACAAATGCTGTCATGATCCAAAAGTAACGATGAGACTAGGACCCTGCTAGGGTTAGGAAAGACCTGGCCTGAGCACCGTAGTCTGAGATCGAGATGAACCCAGGAAAGTAATTCTATAAGCTTAATGTATCTCTTACTGTGTCCATACAAAATGATTAACATTATGAATGCTTATATGTTTGTTGGACAAGGAGACGAGAAACACACCCATGGGATTCCACTTTTGGGTGGGCTTTCCTGCTGAGAGGATATCTGTCCTAGAAGAAGTGCCCCCTGAGGGAAAGAACTTAACCCCTATTGATTGTGACCAGATTTATGTGTAAGTCCCAACCCTTCATGCATTGGGATTTAACTAGACTGTAAGAGTGGGCTGGGGGATCCAGATTCCAGAGCCAGAAGGGGAATGAGGGGGGATTGAGAAGGAGAATAAAGTAGCATGGGGGAGGAAGAAGCAGGAGGAGAATCAGAGGAGAATGGCGATGGGAACAGAATAAACTGCAACTGACACCAACCAGCCTGGCCCTCGTTCTTTCCTTCATCTGCCCATCACCATCGAAACGGCCCGAGCTACCGAAGGCGGGTGGCAGAAGAGATAGAGTTGCTGCCCCCCTTTTTTGTGTTTACACAAACCCTGACACCCTGCCGCCCAGTGGAAGCTGCTCATTCCCCTTCAGGAATCTTCTCTGTGCAAAGAAGACAGATGCCTCCTGCCAACACTACAGACAGACAGAAAAACTGACAGACACACATAATACCATACATGCAACACACACACCAGGTACACACCATACACAACACCATACACACAACACATGGTATTCAAATACCACACACAATATACCAACAACACACACACCACATAAAACATACACAGAACACACAGTATACAAATACCACACACAATACACCAATACCACACACTACACAAAACATACACACAACACACATCGTATACAAATACCACACAAGATATACCAACACAACACTACTTAAAACATACAACACACAGTATACAAATACAACACACAATACACCACCAACACACACACCACATAGAATATACAACACACAGTATACAAATACAATACACAATACACCAACACCTCACACACCATACACACACCACATAAAACATACACATAACACACACTATATAAATACCACACACAATATACAAACACCACACACCACATACAATACATACGCAAGGCATACAACACACACCATACACACAACACACTCTATATCCAAACACCACACCCCCTCCCCCATTCCACACCCCCACACCATATACACCCCCCCTCCACACACACAAATTGTTTTGCAGCCTGGCTCTTCAGGGTCCTTGACCTGTGCCCAGAAGCCAGCCTGCTCCCTGACACTTGACCAATGGGCTCAGGAGCAGGTGGATGGGGCGGGGACCCAAGTTGAGGACCCCAAGCAGGACATTGGGGGAGCATGGGGAGCCCCTTTCCACGCTTTTGAAAGCCTCGCCTTGGTGCCTGGGTGACTTGAGCTCTGCCCACCCCCACCTTGTCCCTGAAGCCGACACACACCTTTCCGGGGCTGAACGATGAGGGGGCCCAGGTGGTCGCCCTGCAGCCGGCAGTAGCCGTCTATGAGGTCTGCCATGTTCTCGGCCTCCGCCAGGGAGGAGGTCTTGATGGACAAGGGCTGCCGAGAAGAAAACATCAAAGGTCAGAAACCCTGACCTTGGCTACAGACAGCCTCCCACACCGGGGGGGGGGGAGCAGGAGGGGCACCCAGTTTAGAGGGGACCTGGGGACCTCCTCTGCTGGGTGCACAGTTGGCGGCACCATTGCTTCCTTCACAGGGGCCCCCCTGTTGGCCCGCCCACTGATTCTTGCTCAGCGTACGGAGTCAAATAACAGCCAAATAACAGCAATGTTCGGTTTTTGTTTGCGGGGGGTGGGGGGGGGAGGGGGGGAGGATCACATCCGGCAGTGCTCAGGGGTTCCTCCTGGCTCTGTGCTCAGAGGTCACTCCTGGCGGTGCTTGGGGAACCCTATGCCGTGAGGTGCCAGGCAAGTGCCCTATCTGATATACTAGTTCTCCAGCCCTGTCTGACAGCTATTTGGATCCAGAAGAGCGAAACTTGGTGCCTATCTGGTGCCTATGAAGGGAAGGGAAACTCAGGCACAGCCAGAGATGAAAGGGGAGAGGGAGGGGAAAGGGACCTCCTGTACCCTGAGTCTGACTCTTCCCCCCACGAAGGGCTGAACTCACAGTTCTCTAGATCTGACTTGTACTTCAATTTCTGGTCACTGTTACCGGGAAAATTTGCCCTGAATACATTACCCTCATTACTCTAAAAACTCCCTTGACAGTTACTGACCTTTTTTTTCTTACACTGTGACATCTTCTTGGGGCCTTGACTAAGAACTAGGGGTCTTTAAAAAATAAGAGGGACCACCACACCCGGCATGCTGGGGAGGGCGGGTCTGAGGTCCCGGGATTGAACTCGGGACTCGCTCCTGCAGGCACGTAAGTGCTATATCCCCTGAGCTAAGTCCTGGACCAAATTACGTGTCGTGTTTTGAAAGGAGACCCTTGAGAAGGCAGGGGGCCCTGGCCAGGCTGGGGGTCCCAACCTGCATCTTGCAGCCCTTGTTTGGGGGTCTCACCTGGGGGGCCCCCTCGATGGTCAGCTGCAGTAAGGCCTGGTTGTCCTCCAGCGGCAGGGACCGAATGGACTTGATTTGCTTGAACTCGGCCAGGCAGGTGGGCTGTTGGAAGAGGGGGTGTTTCTTCCATCAGGCCAGAAGGGGGATTGCATGAAGAACAGGGTTCTCTCTCTCTCTCTCTCTCTCCCGGATACAGCAAAGAGAGTCAAAAACTATGGAGGCCCAAAAGGGTCATCCGATCTCAGGCCCTCACCAAGCAGAAGAGAAAATGAATGTGGAAGTGGGGGATGGGGCCCAAGGTCATGTGCCATATGTCCAATGGGGGATGGTCGCGGGTGAGGGCAGGGCCAGGCAGGACCCAGGGCTCCTGGCTGAGCAGATAATCTGTGGCCCCCTCACAGTGAGAGAGCAGCTCTTGTGTCTGAACCAGGAGAGCAATCACGGTGTCCTTGCTTCTGCCCACCCCCAGACGCCCACTCACCCCCTCAGGGTGACAGCTGCAGGGGAAAAGGCATTGGGGGAGGGGACAGCAACAGACTGAACACTCGGTCTCTCACCTTCGCATCCGGACTGGTCAACTGGCGGATGCCTTTGGGGCCGATGACCAGGTCCACCATAATGTTCCACCCTTGCTGGAAAAGAAGGGGAGAGGGCACTGTGGCCCCGTCTCGGTCCACCCCAAACTACACACCCACCCACATCACCCCGTGTCTCCCCTCCCCACTGGAGTCCTTTGGAATTTTATGTTGGGATTCTGGGTGAAACTTTTTGACAGCAGGATTGGAAGCCTCCGGAGGGACAGTCCACTGGACAGGATTGCAGGGCACAAGGCGAGAACTGCAGACCCTGGCCACCGGGGCGGGGCCAATGATGGGTGGGGGCTGATGAGAGGTATGGGCGTGGTGGTTCGGGTGAGGGGTGTGGCAGCTCAGATGAGGGGCGTGGTGTGGGCGTGGCTGCCTCGGTAAGGGGCGTGGTGTGGGCGTGGCTGTATCCACGAGTGGGCGGGGATGCTCCCCTGTGGGCGGGGCCTCACAATGAGCTCGCAGCGGTAGGTCTCCTGGTCTATACTGGCGAAGCCCGCCAGCGTGTTGAAGAACTTCATGACACACTCCTCCTCCCGCAGCGAGGCGTACTGCTGGAAGGTCTGCTGGATCATCTTTCGGAACTGTTTGGGCTGTGGGGACACAGGTCAGCAGGGTGCTCTGCTGTCCCCCAGGCTGCCTGCGTCCCCTCCCCAAGCCCTCCCCCACGCCCAACTTCTGCAGTCTCCTCTTTCCCAAAGCACATGCCATTAGGCGCAGGTTTCTGGATTCCTGGTCCCAGGGTGGGCCCAGGAAGTCTCAGAAGTTTCAGGAGCAGACACCCCGGCTCGCCAGGGATCTCAACTCCTGCCCATTTTAGCCTTCTGCTATCGGGGAGCCCCCTGGAGGTCCTTTGAGGCTCCTGCTTTGCTCACCTTCAAGTTCTCCTGCATCTGTTTGGGGAAAAACAGGTCGAGCCCCACTTCCTTCCTGAAAGAGGGGGAGAAAGGCAGCTTTGCACCTGATGCCCCCCAGTCAGGCTCCCCGAGCCCAGCCTGTGGGGAAAGGGTGGAAAGATGGGGGTTTGGGGTTCCCCGCTGGACTGGTATATGGGAAGGGGGCCCGTGTATAGGGGCACCCCTAGGACTTACTCCAGCAGTTCGAAGTTGGACTTTTTGTCAAGTGCGTTGTGGGGCATGTCCTTGAAGAACCGTCTGGAGAGAGAGAAAGCATGGAGGGGGAGGGGCTTCCCCCAACCCCCACACACAACCCCTGGAACCCCTTACCCTCTCCCCCATCAACTGCAGCAACCCAGGGGAGGCAGATACGAATGAGGAAAACCAAAACCACCAATATCTAGGAAGCCAAGAAGCAGACACGATGCTGGGACAGATGCAGGAGGAAGAGGGGCCTCTCTGGGGTCTCCACATTGAAGGTCTGAGTAGGCTGCCTTAGGGGTCCCTCTGAGGACCTCATCATGAAGGCTGCTCCCCATGGAGACTACTCTCTGCTCACACGTTTCTGAAATACCCAGAGTGCATGTGAGTGCGTGCATGCATTTCGAGCACGTGTGTGTGTGCATCTTTTGTGTGTGTGCATGTGTGTGCTCATTTCAGTGAGTGATCAATGTTGGTGCAGATGCCAAGTAGACAAGAAGGAACACGGAAATCAAAGTGATCCCTAATCCCATCGCTAGGGGGCAGTTAGGATTTTCTCCCTTTTTAAACACTATTCTTTAGGGCAGCATTTCTCAAAAGGGGCCCATAGGCTTCTGGGATATTCCACGGGGCCATAGCACCAGACTGGTGGGCTGACCTGTAGGGCAGGGGGGCTGCTGTGGGAAGGAACCGGGTCAGAAGGGGGCCACGGCAGGGAAAGGTTGGGGAACAGTGATTTAAGTGTTTAAACTCTCCTTCCTCTAGAGACAATGCTTTGATGAGTTTTTTTTTTTTTTTTGAGGGGGGAGGTCACACCTGGTGGTGATGCACAGGAATTACTCCTGGCTCTGCACTCAGGAGTTACTCCTGGCGGTGCTCAGGGGACCATATGGGATGCTGGGAATTGAACCCGGGTCGGCCGCATGCAAGGCAAACGCCCTACCCCGCTGTGCTATCTCTCCAGCCCATCTTTGATGAGATTTTGACGGGCTGTTTCTACAGAGCCCCGACTTTGACCCTTGGGTCCTTACCTGGGTTTGGGGGTGGGGTCCACTAATGAACTCAGAGCTCCCTTGCCCAGCTGCCTGTCTGCCCACCACGCCCGCGTTTCGTGCTCTGGGACTAGTCAGGGGGAGAGGAACAGTCAGCTGAGATCCAACCGCAATGGGCTGAGGCAGTTTTGTGTTGAGACACAAAAGGTTTCAGCCCTCTTGAATATTTTTAGAGTATTTTCTCTGGACAGGGATGCCCAGGTGGGTGAGGCCAATGCCCTGAGGGGCATTGGAACGAAGGGGAGATGACTGGTTAGTAACTTCAGGTACCACTGGGGGTGATATTTTGATTCAAGAAGGTAGATTTGTGGGGGTGCAGAGTGGTTTTATTTTTTTTCTGAAAAGAGGGTGCTAGGCCAGTAAATTGGCCTCTGCAACAGCAGGCGTAAGTAGACACTAGAAAGCCATTTCCAAGGGGACAAAGCTCAGTGGACTGGGCCTTGCTGAACTGGGCAGTGCTGGGTGGTCTCCAATAACCAGGAATTTGGGCAGAGGGGGAACAAGAGAGAAAAAGTCTTAGCGATCATTTTCTGGGTTACAACTGAGCAGAGGAGGAGCAGTGAGGGTCGGGGAGGCCGTAGGACTCGCCCTGAAAGTCGACTTCACAAAACAGGAAGGAGTTTCTAGCTGATCTCTCTCCAGGCAAGGTTCCCAAGTTTCAAACTGGATTACGGTAGTGAGCGGGCAGTTCAGTGTGGGGCCCCAAGGACATGGTGCTGTGGCGCCAAGCAGTGCCCAGGGGTCCCTAGTGCTACCCCTGTGATGCGAGGGTACTCCTGTGCTGCCAGGGAGTGAACCAGGATTGCTGCCTGCAAGACCAGCACCTTAAACCCTGCACTCTCCCTTCTGCTGTAACTGAGGCAACAAGCTATTGATAACCAGGCAACAAGCTACTGAAGAGGGAGTCCTGGCAGCCAGGGGCGGACCACGAGCACATTTTGGGGGGCCTCAGAGATAGCACAGCGGCTAAGGGACTTGGCTTGCATGGGGCAGACCGGGTTTCAATCCCCGGGAATACATAAGATCCTCTGAGCCCTACCAGGTATGGCCCCAGCCCCTGCCCCCCACAAGTCAAAAACATCCCCATACTTTCAGAATGAGAATGATGTGGTGTTGTTAGTGGTGGAGGGGGGTGGAATAGTTCACTAGGAAAGGCTGCCGGGGGAGGGTGGGGACATGGGGTCCCCCATCTCTCAGGGTCCGGCTCATGCCCTATACCCCCAGCCTCCCCCTGTGCTCAGCAGTCACCATGGCACTCAGTGCTGAGTGAGAGCCATCTGCGCCCACCATCTGCCCGCGAATCACGCGGGAAGTTCTAGAACATCACGGGGACGTCGGGGGAACCGGCCGTCCTGATCTTCTGGGCTGCGCCCCAACTGACTCAGCCACTGTCGGGGACTGGGGGCACCCCCCACACCACACACACACACACACACACACACACACACACACACACACACACACACAGCCTGCAGTGCCCGCTGTCCTAGCCCAGGCTGCAACTCTGCTTGGCCACCAGAAGGGACCACAGGGCAGGCGCAAGCCCAAGGCAGCAGGGCTGGGAGACCTCAGTGAGGACCACACGGCCAGCGCGGACCATGGGACGGGAGCGGAGCCGGCAGAGAGAGTCCTCATCTGTCTGTACTTATTACCGGTCACTGCTCAGCTCATGCCTAGTCTCACGTCCATGCGGGGCCTTTCCCGGGCTCTGCAGGGGGTGGGCAGAGGCCCTCAATGTCTCGGGGAAGGGGGTGGTACCTGGTGCCTCCAGCTGGGCAGGTGGAACCTGGATCTCACATTTTCACACATTGGGGGGATGGGGGAGGGATGTGGGGAAAGAGTCCGATTGGCTGCAGAGGGCACGTCCGATCGATCAATCAGTGGGTCACTGGTTAGGGTTGGGTCTAAAAAAGGGCAAAATTCGGAAACACAGCAAGATGGCTAGTTGCGGTGTTGTGGGAGGAAGGCCCGGCCCGGCTGGCGGGACCCAAAGGGAGGCCAGGGCAGTGAACACCCAGTGACCGTCAGGGTGAAGGCACTATTACCCAGGTGGGGGGGTGGGGACTCCGACAGTTCCCACAGAGAGGAGGGGTGACGGCAACGTGGGGACACCATGGTGTGTGCTTCCCTCTCAACTTCACTAGAGCCGGAAAGTGGTCCAGAAAGCAAAGTCCACTAATAACAAAGTCTACAAAATGTGTAGCTGCCTCTCAGCTTTGCTTTCGACCCCAAAGTGCTCTAGAAAATAAAGCCCAGGAGTAAAGAAACAGGCCAGGGAGGTGTGCGGCCCTGGGTTCGAGCAAAAACAGAGGGAAGAGCAGGAAATGCATGAGTGCAGAAGATGAGCAAGGGCCGGGCGGCGTGTTTAATCCTGCAGGGCCTGGAGCTGCACCAGTGCCGCCGTCCCTGCTGCACGGAGAAATGACTTCGGTTCGTGGACATCCCCGGATGCAAACCAGCAGCAGCGTCAAGCCCTCTGCTTCTCAGCGTTTGGCTCTGGCACATGGACGAAACCAAGTGCTCTCAGAGCAGCCGTGACCAGTGCCCACGGGTGAGTGGGTGTGATGGCAATGCACAGGCTCACATCGGCTAGTCCTGTCGCATCCCACTGCTGCTATCTTAGTTTGGATTTTAGTTTTTTAGGGTGGCACACAGTAGTGCTCTGGGCAGACTCCTGGCTCAGTACTCAGGGGTCACTCCTGGCACCTCTTGGGGGACCATCTGCGGTGCTGGGGGGGGGTTCAGACCCACAGCAGCTGTGTGCAAGCAGGTGCCTCCCTGCTGTGCCATGGGCTACGGCCACCTAGGAGCTTCTTAGACTGGGCAAATGTCCTGTGGTTGGGTTTAGAGAGAACACAGGTGCAACTGTCTCTGTTGAACTGAAGCACAAGCACACGGACAATCAGTAGCTAAGGTGACAGGGACCTTTGCCCAAGGCCTACTGGGAGCCTGAAACTCCTCCCCCCCCATACACACACACATACACACACAGACACACACAGACATATAGTTCACACACAGGCACACAGACACACAGACACAGATATACACAGACACATACATACACAGACATACACTCACACACAGACATACACAGACACACAGACATGATACACACAGACACAGATACACACAGTCACAAACAGACACATACAGACACACAGACATACACAGACATACAGACACAGATACACACAGACACACACAGGCATACAGATGCACACAGACACACACAGACACACAGACACACACAGACACAGGGACACTCAGGGATTTTCAGAACTTTTGGTCAGAAATAGGCTAATTTGACTGACAGTCACCCGTGCCAAGAGCTGGGGATATTATGGCAGGCGGACGCTTGTCTGCCCACTCAGGGGGACCCAAGAAGCTGTGTGGGGTGGGAGAGCGAGCACAGGAAGGGCCATGCCGCTCTTGTGAGCATCTCCCGGCATACCTGAGCTCCAGACAGCCAAGCTGCAGCGCCATGCCCTCGCTCACCTTGCTGGCGTAGCGCTGCATGTAGTCGTTCCGGAGCTGGGGGACAGGCCAGGGTTACAGTCACGCTCTGAGCCCGCCCGCCCGCAGGGGGCACCCCAGCTCCATCCCGCACCCCTGTCCCCACCCTGCAGAGGGACAGAGGGACAGAGCAGGGGTGGGGGTCACGCTCCAGCCTGACTGAGGAGGCTCTGGGGGACCCCACACACCCCTGCCCTGCTGCCTGCTTTTCTGAATGACTGAGCTGGGGCTGCTGGGTGGGGGCGCTGCCCAGGGCCCATGGGGAGGTGGCCAGCAGGTGCTCCCTCCCTTGGTCCCTGCCGCCCACCTGCTGGTAGAAATAGAGCAGCGTGGTCCGGTCCTCCTTCAGGCTCTCCAGGAAGTTCTCGGGCAGATAGCGGATCTGAAGGTCATACCTGGGAGAAGAAGGTGCAAGGGGGTGTGTGTGGGGGGGGTCAGCCTGCCCAGACCTGCCTCTCCCTCCCTCTGAGGACAGAGACCAGGGGCAGTGGCGGTGGGAACACGCCCCTCCACCACCCTGTCTGGTTCCTCCTAGGGACTCTGTCCCTCCTTGCCGGTTCCACCTCTCCCTCCTCCCAGCCCCATCCTCTCTCCCCCGCGCACCAAGGGCAGCCGGTCTGGGGCAACCTCCACCACCTTGCCCCAGGGGGCCAAGTCTCTGCAAATACACATGTTTGGGGGAAAAATTCAGCTCCAGGGATTCATTATGCCGCTTCCTCCTCTCCCTCCTCCCCTTCCTCCTTCTCGTCCCTGTTTTGTGGGGGTGGTGGTGCTGGGGATGGAACCCAGGTCCTCCACATGCAAGGCGAGTGCTCCACCACCGAGCCACATCCAGGGTCCAGACACACATGGGGTGCTGCGGAGCGGGGAGTCCCCGAGCCTGAGATGCCCCCTTGAGCTTTTCTGGAAGATGCTCAGGGGGCCGGAAGTGGCCAGGGCAGGGCCGTACCTCCACTCGGCTTCCACGTGCAGACACTCGTACTTGTCCTGTGCCTCGCCCACCGTCATGTACGGGTGCAGCCAGTGGATCTCGTCCGACTTCATGTGCTTGAGCCGCAGCCCGTAGCACTCGGCCAGCTGGATGTTGGGGCCGATGCGCCCGCTCAGTAGGATGGAGGCGATGACCTCCTGTGTGGGGGAGAGGAGGGAGATGGGCCAAGATGCAGGGGTGCCCGTGGAGGCTGGCGCTGTCACTGGGCAGAGCCCCTGTGCATGCCACAGGGCGGGAGGCTGGGTTTCACTCCCAGGTGTCAAGATGGGCACCTGGGACGGGGGTCACTTAGCTCACAGCAGAAAGCTGGGACGGACCCCCACCCGGGGCCAAGGGACTCGCAGGTGGGTCAGCGGTGTGTTCACAGGGGGGACGCTCCATGTGACGCCCACTTTCCCGCTCACCAGGCATTGGCCAGGAGCTGGGATGGGGTGGGTAGAGCCCCATCGGGTAGAGCCTTGCCTGTGTGCAGTCCAGAGCTCCAACCCCATCATCAACGGCTCCCAGGGGGCAGTGTTGGAGCAGCCCCCCCATGTGCGCGAGAGCCCCCACATTCCTATCTCCTCCCCCAAGGAGTGGATTCGGCAACCCCAGCGGGATGGAGGGGCGCTGTGGACACACCTGTGCATGCTATGAAGTCTGTTCCTTCATGTTTCCACCAGAAAACTCTCCTCTCATGCCTGGTTTAAAGGACCCTCAGCCCCGCTGCCCCACAGGCCCCGTCCACACTAGGTGGGGAAAATCCTTCCCATTCCGAAAAGCAAATTCCTAGTTGGGCAGTGGGCCCCTGCTCGGTGAGGGTGGGGACACTGAGGCACAGAGGGCCCCCACTACAGCTGTGACTAATCCTGGTCCATGGGAGGGAGGCTGCCCAGCAGGCCTTTCGCCCCCCTGCCCCCACCGTTGTCCACATGGCCATTCCCCAGGGTCCTCCTGTCATCCCGGAGTCTGGCTTTACCAGGAGCCTTCAGTCCCCACCAGTCAAAGTCTCCCTCTCCCAGGCCGGGACTCAGAACGATCAGAACCTTCCAGCATGGGCTGAATAAACAGATGTCAACAGTCAACAGGCAAACACTCCCATGAGGGCATGTCCACCACCCCAGTGCAGAAGTGACCCCTATTCTGCCACTTAAGCTTCAGCCGTGACCACCCGCCAACTCTTAAACTCCCACCCTGACCTTCTGAGGTGAACTACACAGTGAAATCACGCAGGGCGGCGGACGATGTGGAACCATGAGTCCCCCATGAAAACCACACGTTTCCCAGGAGACAGAAAGTCCCAGTGTGTCCACTGGAGGCCACTGCCATTGCCTGCTCCCACCCCCTCCACTTCCAGGCACCCAGATTCCCTGCCCCCCACCCAAATGATTACACTGTGTCTGTTCCAGACTGTCCTATTCAAGGAGCCACTGGGGATATACTCTGTTACGTCCAAATTTTATCATTCACTGTAGCTGGGATCCATCATGCTGTTGCACATAGAGACAAGCCTGTATCAGGAACTGATCCTTTTCATTGGTGAATAATATTCTAGACTACAAATTCACCTCAATGAGGTTCCTCCTTTCCCTGTTGTGAGATCCCCGTGCTCTCTCTTCCTGCTGGCTATTGTGAACAGACTCATCATAAATATTACCATTTAGGCCTTTTCCCGTGGTACATATATATTATTTCCCGTGGTACATATATATTATTTCCTTGGGATAAATACCCAGGAGTGAGACTATTGTCTCGAAGGGAGCTGCAGACTTAAGTATATAAGCCATTGCTCAGATGATTCCATTTCATATTTCTTCTGGGGGGCATGAGTAGCCCACCTCACCACCCTTTCTCCAACATTATGCGCTTTAAGAATTCCATTTCATCTGAGCCACGGCTGGGATGTAAATGCATCTCACTGCACCTTTAACTTCCAGCTCTGGTGACTGGTGATACTAGGACTATTTTTATCTGTTCCCTGGGTATATCCCATGCATTCTTTTCTTCCTCTGTGAAGTATCTCTAAACTCTTTAGTACATTTGTGTGTGTGTGTGTGTGTGTGTGTGTGTGTGTGTGTGTGTGTGTTAATAGGATCCACACCTGGCAGTGCTCTGAGGACTTGGTCCATTCTTCTGTGCTGACTTTGCACTATTCAGTTGTAGACGATTTTAGATAAAGGACTTTGCACATGCTTTATGACTCTTGTTTCATGGTTTGTACTATGCCCATTACTTATTTCCTTATCAGTGTTTTGGATAAAGCGACTGTATCGCCATTGGCTCTCATGACCCGTGCGCTCTGCATCTAAGAAAATCTCTGCCTGCCTCCAAGCCATGGAGCGTCTGTTCGCTTGCATCTGTTTCAAGTCATCTTTTACTTTCAGGTGATGCTGTTTGCATCATGCCAGTGTGAGGCAGGGGTCAACATCCATGCATTTGCCACGTGACGATGCTCCAGCCGGGGACTGGCCGCCTATGACGGTCCCATGGCTAGGAGAGAATTGTGGTAGGCAAAAGCTTCCAGGTCTGTGTCATGATGATGGAACCACTTGAAAATGTGCTTCCCAGAGAGTATTTTGCCATTAGGGGCCACGTAACTGTGATGACGAATAATCTGAGATCATTCCTCCCTGGTTTCTGGCTGATCCATCCCAAAGGGACTGCTTTGCTGCCTTTGTCAAAATTAGCTGGCTCATATTGGTTTAGATTTCGTTCTGAACTCTAGCTTTCGTCCTGCTGATGTCTGCTTCTGCCAGTCCCACCCTGTACCCAGCACCATTAGCTCTGGAGGAGGGCATACTCAGCCTCTAAAGCTACATATGGACTTAGAGCTCCTACAGCTCGGGACAAGATTTTCTTTTTCTTTTTGGGTCACATCCCTGGCAATGTTCAGGGATTCCTCCTGGCTCTGCACTCAGGAATTACTTCTGGCAGTGCTCAGGGGACCCCTATGGGATGCCGAGGATCGAACCTGGGTCAAATGCATGCAAGGCAAATGCCCTCCCCGCTGTCCTACGGCTCTGGCCCCTTAAGATGAGATCTCAAGTGCGGAGTATAAGCTTCTCCTGCCACCAAGATGACTGTGCTATTCTAGATCTCTGATTCTCTTATACATATTCATGTTTTAAAAATCAACTTGCCAATTTCTCTTTAAATGTCTGCTGAAAACCACAGTACCTAAAAGGAAAAAAAGAAAAAGGGGAAAGTGCCTGCCATAGAGGCAGGTTGGGGGGCAGGGGAGAAACTGGGAACATGGGTGGAGAGAAAGCTGACGCTGGGTGGAGGGATGGGTGCTCGGTTATTGCGTGCCTGAAATGCAATCAGGAAAAGCTCTATGATTCACAGTGATTCAACACATTGAAAGAAAAAAAAAAAGAAGTAAAACCACACATACACAGACACACAAAAAGGCTGTTGAGTTTTTTTCAGTTTGTTTTGGGGGCACAGCTGGCAGTGCTCAGGGGTTCCTCCTGCCTCTGCGCTCAGGAATCACTCCTGCTGGTGCTCTTCAGACCCTATGGGATGCTGGGGATAGAACCTGGGTCAGCGGCATGCAAGGCAAAGCCCTCCCCACTGTCCTTTCACTCTGGCTCCAAGTCTGCTGCATACTAACTGGGATTACACGCAGCCAGTTCTAGGGGGAGCCCAGGCATCTTCACAGTTTGGGGACCTATCCTCAAACCCACCACAGATCTCTGCTTACTCGGCGCGTCTTAAATGCCTCTGGGCAGTGTGTTCTGCAGGTATAGGGCACCAGTACCCGGGGTCTCAAATTGATTTCCCCTTAGCATCCATCTCGTTGCTTCGGGAAATTCAATTTCCTTTTAAAATTCATCAGTTGGTCGGGGGCAGGAGGCTTGCCCCTCTTTGGCTCCCGGATGCCCCTTAAGCTTTTGGGCTCTCTCAGTCCCAAGCTGATACTGTTGTGGGCGTGCAGCTTCCTGCCCTGGGAACCCACCCTGGATTGGAAATGACCCCTTAGCGGCCCCTACCCCAGCAAAAGCCACAAGTCTCACCTCCTCCCTTCCTGTACTTCAGTTCTCAAGAAGCGATTTCCCTCTAGCTTCTTTGCTTGGGTCCTTGTCCAGGGCCTTCCAGAAACCAGCCCTTGGATTCCAGCTAGATTTTATCACTGTGATCTGCAGGAAGGTGAGTTCAGCCAAGCCTTTCCACCGCTTCTAAATCTATTTCAGTGAAAGAATCAGCAAATGCAAAGAACACCAGCCGACTCGTTGCTGTGGGTTTAGAAGTGGCGGCGCTGCCAGGCGGAGTGCCAACCCTTGGGTCAGACCCCTGCGCTCCCTCCGCCTCCACTTCCTACCATGATGGCCTTGGACAAGATTTCAGCTCTCCCGATTGCATTTTCTCACCCACAGGAGAAAAACAACAGTGTCTGCTTTGGATGGCGTTGTGGGGGTTCAATTAGCAAAACCGAGGACAGAAATCTGGCACGAGGTTAAAACCCTGAAGAACGGCAGCTTCGCTGGAACACAGTCATCTCCCGTTGGTGCTGGGGTTTCCTGAACAATGCCTGGCAGCACAAAGCCAGATCCTGGCTGGACTGACAGCCCTGCCCAGCTCCTTCCCGGGAGGTAGGGGTTTGGCCGGGGGTCACAGGAGCACGGCTGAGGGCCTGGGCAGCTGCAGAGGCCTGCACTGGGCAGAGAGGGGCTGGCCGGAGGTGGAGATGACCACAGTGGGTAGGAGATTGCATGCACGGTGAGTTAAGGCAGAAACAGACTGCGGCGAAGGGGAATTAAGCGTGTTGCTGTTGTGGAAAGTACCAAAAATATGGCGTGGGGAAGGACATATTGGTGAGGGACTGGAATTGAGAGTGTTGGTATGAATTCATGACTCACTAGCAAAGCGGATGGATAGATGGAAGAGAGAAAGGACAGGGAGAGACAGACAGGAAGCTCTTTGCTGACCTAGGAAGTGGCCCAAGCTCGACAATGGTCATTGCAAGTGCTGAGTCTTCATGTCCAAATATCTTTTATATGCTCAAAAGATGAGGGCCCGCCATCACTCCTTGCAGAATGGCTGATTCCAGAGTCAGGGCAAGGAAGGTACATGATGAGCCTGGACCGACATTCTGTGCGTGGGAGAAAGGAAGTGCCGAGCGGGGGTGGGATGCACAGCGAGGAAACAGGATCCTCTG